AAAAGACATTTAAAAAAATGAATATTTCTGAGTACAGGGTTATTCATAATTCCCTCCGGGGTTTCGAAGCGTTATAGTAAAAAAACGAAGACTGATATGGCAAAAAAGAACATATGAAATTATTCCGAAAGTATTCAAGTTTTAATTTAAGCAGTTGCCGGTAGATGGCAGTAACATGTATCACTGAAGCCAGTTGTAGTAAAGAAAAATGGCGTTTACAGGCGGAGGAAATTATGAACAACCCTGTATAATAACTTTCTCTTTTATATTTCAATCGTGTTCTTCCACATTTTGACAATAATATTTCTTAACTTCTAGTTGCAATATTTCATCTTCTTAGTTTGTATTTTCTTCCTCACTTATTAAGAATTTCAGTAAATCATCAATTTCATTAGTATTTTGAAATGAGCGTTGAAAAAAATGGACATATCGCTCATTTGGTGAAACAATGACGTAACTGAACTATCAGTTACGTCATTGTTTCACCAAATGATCGATATCTTCAAAATGCAAGTTTGAAAAAATGGATACAGCTCAAAACTCTTGTTTAAGAAAATGTGCTTAGTTCGATAAGCGCATTTGAAGAAATGAACAAAGCTGAAAATGCTTGTTTACGAAAGTGGACATGAATTAAAATACGCGTTTGATGAAATGAACATTACTTAAATTGCGTTTTAAGAATATGGACATGGCAATTGATTTCATCGTTTGCGAACTACTGTTATGGATACTGTTTTTTTAAAACTAATTAACGAATGGTAAATTTTTATAGTGTATGAAAAACAAAGCAAATTTCCCCATTGGTTTGGTAAGCATCTTTTACAAGACCGATGTTGGTATTAAAAATTTGGAATCATACTCTATTAGATACATTTATCAGGCTTGCTAACTTTATTTACTTTATTCGATAAATTTATTTTTGAAACGCCTAATTTTTCTAACCTCATTTTATCCTCTGTCAATTTTCGTAAAATACGTATTTTGAGCTATGTCCAAAATAAATAAAAAATGCGCAGACGATATTTAATCTGTTTACAACTGCCTTTAGTTTGAAATTAATACCAAAATATATTTTTAAAGAATTAAAATATGTAGGACATTTTGAAATTAAAATAATAATAATAATTTAATAAAAGCACCAGTGTTATTTCGTATGGGGAAGAAATTAGAGAATTATTCTGAATGTGTGTTAAATTTCGTCGCCCTCATAGATTAGACTCTGTGACGTCCAAGCTCCATTTTAAAGTATTTATAAAAATTACATACTTAAACATTTAAAATGAAATATGTCTTTTTTTTAAAAATATTATTAATATGTATTTCTTATAAATACATGCAATATTGGAACTTAGGTGTGAAAAAAAAAATTTTTTTTTTCTTATAATGAAATAAAAATAGTTTTTTTGCTTGCAGTCCTTTATTTCTTCCCAAAACGTAGTGCTGCCATCTAGTTTTGAATGAAGCTCTAATTGATTTTTATCGTTTATTTTATATTTCATGAATTTACGGACTGTTTTTATACTTTTCTGAATATAATGATATGATGAATTTAAGTACGTAAAAAATATATTTTCATTGTTTAAAACTTAAATTTTTTTAAAAAGAACTTAAAAAAAAACTTTATAAAATATAAAACTTTAATTTTTTTTCATCATTTAGCACCCATTGGATAAATAACCTATAAATATGTGGGTGTTTTTTTTTTTTTTTTTTTTTTTTTTTTTTTTTTTTTTTTGGTTAAACAAAACGTGTTTTTCTTCGTTGGTAATTAATTTTATTTTATAAATGCTGTAAAAAGTTAAAATTTAAAAATTATAAACATTTTTATTTATAAATTAGCAGTAGAATATATTTCGCGAACTGTTGTAACTTCGTTATTTGTTTCAAATGTAAAACAAAAACAATAATAATAATATTATTTATGAAATAAATATTCTTTAAATCTTAATTTTCTAACATTCTAACTTAGTCTTATAAAAACGTGATCTCTTAAAGAAAAATCGTCGTAGGTGCCTAATTTTTGACTGGGATGAAAATAATTTACTCAGTAATAATAGTTCTCTGAATTTCTCACAGAAGAAAGAAATGACTTATATGGGCTAAATATTTGCAAAAAAGATTAATTATTTCTATCTCTTTATTGTTTTTAACTATAAGGAATTTAAAATTGATGATAAGCCATGATCATTTTCCATATTTTTCTGAAATACTGAAGGGGACTTTAAAAAACTTCTAATTATTGTGGAGATGGGCAAGTACCCTTGCCGCCAACATGGCTACGAATAAAATATTTTGGTTACGGCTAAAGATATACAACATTAATTGTTAGCAAACTTGATATTAATCCCTAGATGGCAGCACCACTGTTAAAATTTTTGTTTGTGAAAAACACATGTTTATTTTTATTGATAGCTTTTTAACTTATTTTTGATATAATTTTTTTTAGCAACTAAGATTTCCCTGTTTTTTTTTGTTTTTTTTTTTAATGTTTTTAAATAAGTCTAGAACTGGAATATTGAGATAGAATGGGATGTAGAAACAAACAAAAAAACTATCACCATAAACCCTTGTAGTACAGTCCCTGGCCAATTTATCAGACCCACTATAATATTCTATGTAAAATCCGGGTGATACTATACAGCTTTACTGTTTTCACGTAACTGAAACTGGTTCGTACTTGATTACGTTCGTGCATAAATTGGTTAAATTCAACGATACGTAATATAAATTCGACGATTGGATAAATTAGACGATATGTTGTGTAAATTAGAACATTTGATATATCAGTTATTATATTAGTATATTATAATAATTAGACCAAATTATTAGACACACTGAAGATTTTTAATAATGACATGTGTTGCACGAGTTTATGTGTAATACTTTTATATTTAAACATACATGTAATGGGTTTTTATTCAGATTTATTTATATACTTCCTATTTTGTATTTATTTTTAACGTATTGCATTACAATGTTAAACAATTGATGCATGAACTTAAACAAGTTTAAACCGGTTTCATCGGAGTAAAAACAATAAAGCTGAATAGTATCACCTGATAATTAAGATTTTATATAGAATCTTATAGTTCTAATAATTTGGCCAACTGTATTTATCATTATTTTCATAGAATATAACTAAGGAAGATATGAGGAAAAACTATCAATTTAATTTTGATTATGCATGAAAAAATATTTCTTAGTTCTGAATTTTTTAAAATAACCATTAATTATATTGTTCAAATTAAGAGCTTTGATTTTATTCATTTTAACTTTACATTCTTTTTATGTTATACTCAAAAATAATTTATTCACATAAAAACTTGTGCATCAAGCTCCTTTGTTCTTTATCGTTCTTGGAGCTTTATTTTGCCCATTTTATTCATTTTCAAAACTACGTTACCTATTTATTCTTTTTGATTTGATTGAACAGACCTTTACAAATACTTATAATAATTTAAAGTTAAAAAATAGTAATAATAACGGCTTAAAACAGATATTTTTTCTCAGTTCAATATCATTTTAATGTCTTTTTATAATACTTAATTTTTAAAACAATTATAATTTTTATTATAAGAAATAAAAAAATTCTTTCATTTATCTGACCTCTTTTCTTAACACATTTTATTGTATATAAGGTTTTATTTATATTTAATTAAATATTGTTACTTTGATTGGATAAAAAATTAAACATCTTATTTCTGATTATTTGAAGTTTGACCGACAAAAGTGTATGAAATATTTATTAAGAATAAGTAAGTTTTAATTCAAGATATTTTAACTCAAGATATTTTACTTAAAAATTTCAAACAAATTTTTGCATGGCTGCCTCACATGAGCAAGGTATTAAAAGGGCATAATCTTAAAATAGCATCTTTTTAGATTACGGGCCTCTAAGGTAAAAATTATTGTTTTGGAAAGCATTAAAATTTATGGAAAATTTATTTAAAAAAAATATGGATGCTTTAACATGTCTGTCAAATTAGCTTTTTTTTCTCCCTCTGAATTCTGCGTTTAATTTATATATTCAAAAATAAAGTGAAGAAGCTAATGTTGTGCTATCATTTTATTCATAAAAATAGTCCAGAAGAATTCACGGTTATGCAATAATAATTGATATTCAAAAGAGATGTGTCTAGAAGTAAATACTTAACCCTTTATATCTCAACATCTCTGATTTTAATAAAAATTACTCATACATTAGAATACATCATTCTAAGCATGTAAAAAAAAAAAAAAATTTACAACATAAAATAAAAAAAATTATTGGAAAAAAATTGATTGTTGCATCTGCAACCTTATGCAAAATGACAAAAAAGTGCTTGTTGCATTCCTGCAACATTGTTAAAAATGGCACTAAGATTGAAAGATTCAAAAATTTTAATTCATATGAAAATTTTTAAAACAGTTGTTACTTTTGTTGTAACAAAGTCCTACACCACATTTCTCACAAATAGTTTGTGTAAATCCTTTGCATTTTGGGTATTTGCATCTGATTCTTTTGTTAGCCCAATTAGGCCATTGCCCAATTTCATCTTGGCGCACTGGTTTTGGCCAACAATCGCCGAAATTGTCCTTCAAAATTTGTTGGGGCAAAGACATAGGCTTTTTTTGTATGTTGCAGATATGCAACAAGGTGATATAAAGGATTAAGGAATGTTTGAATAAAACTAAATGTGTAATATCACAGTGATTTTACCAAAATTGTCTAATATTTCAGGCTGTGGAAACCATTTAAAAATACTTATTACTGTCAGATGATAGATTATGCCTTTTACATGAACATAAATAAAATTTTGTGTAAACCAAATCTCAAGATCAACAAAATCTTGATGTTGTTCCTTCATGAGATTATGATCATGTGTAATTTTTCTTACACAATATTTTATCTTAAATTCATATTCAAGATTAGGTTAATTTTATTGTCTTAAGCTAAATAAATTTTTTGTAATTTTTTAATTGTGCTATATTTTACATCTCAATACACTTTTATCTTCCAGTTCCTGTTAATGACAAGTGCAAATTATATTGCAAAGTTAATGATTCCTCTTCTTATTTTGTTCTGCGAGAAAAAGTTGTTGATGGAACTCCATGTGATTTAGGAACATTTGATATTTGCGTTAATGGAAAATGTGAGGTAAAATATGTTTTGTTTGTGAGACAAATTGTTTTTTGTTTATTAGTATACATGGAATTACTATAACTTTTAGGAAATTTCATTCTTCAAAAATGAAATGCTCAATTTTTACATAATTCACCATGTATTTTCCTGTTGCCGTTTCCATATATGTTTGTTTGTCATAGAGAACCTTAGACTTTAAAAAGTATTGTATTTCTTATTTCCTTCTTGTCTGATTTGTAATGTCCTCTATTTGACAGCAGAAAAAAGCTGGAGCTATATAAGATTTAAAGTGAGATCATAATAAATTGAATAAACATCTATATGAGGCTAACTCCATTTTCTTTAAGTATTGAAGTTTTTTTTTTTTTAACTATTCTTATAAGACCTTCATCTACAACTGTTGAGATATATGCAGTTAAAAATTATATACATCATTTCAAAAAAAGAAGAGAAAAAAAATTTAGAACAGGGGGGGGGGGTAAAGTTTATAGTTGTTGAAAAGAAATTCATAGTATAACAAATTAATCTGAAATGTGGTCCTGGCTCCTGAAGTAGAGGTTCACAAATGCTAAACTGGAGTTTTCAACCACACTACACCTTTCAAGTTTGCTTGCCAAGAATATTTTTTAAAGTAAATTCATTTTTTTAAATAATATAATAACCAGCAACATGAAAGTTTGATTTTAATTTCTTCAGCTCATTATAGAATTTATCATTTGTATTCAAGATCACTGAAGCAAGGTCATATAAAATTGTCTTTAAATTCTTATATACAGTGACAGTGTGAATAATGTTAAGGTAGTAACAAAATGGAAAAAAATTACAAGTTACTGTCAGAAATATATGAAAATAATTGTATATAATTAATTTTGTCTAATTAAAAAATTTTGCTGTTACTCTTTATCTACATATTTCATTTACTGTTTACTTACATGTTAATATAGTTTTTCTCACTGTTCATATTGCAAGCAGTTTGGATGAACTATGTAAAAAGTGTGTGTAACATATATATCTCAAGTTACTCTAGCAATTTGCTTGAAAATTTTTTTAATTGAAATGTAGACATTGAGTAAAAAAAATATATATTCATTGAACCAGCTGAATGTGCTGTGTTCTACTATAGTTTATTGCCAATAGTAGAAAATTCAAAATATTTTTGTCGAATTCTTTAATCATTGAAATAGGACAATGTTAAAAACCACTTCATCCTAATAATTCATTAAAATAGATTAATGTTGTCATTTGGTGTATTTTGAAGGGATCCTATATTGTAAATGTATTAAATTATTCAAGCACCAGTATACTTAAATTATATACTCTAGAAAACTGGTATACACTTGAAAACTTAATAATAAAATTAATGAAATTGTAAGCCATATGTAAACCTATTGAACCTTAAAACAAAAATCTAATAAAGGCGTATAAAAACAAAAATCCTGAGCAGATGGACAAAACCACGACCAGGAAAAAATGGAGAAGTGGTAGCCAAGATTTTTCAAAACTACTGAAAAATGCCGAAATTTATCTTTTATTTGTGAATTATCAAATTATTCCAGAGTTTTTTCACCCATTTATATTTCCTATAAATTAATTATTTATTGATAGCTTGAAATATCTAGATATACCTCCCTTTTGCTACCACTTGAAAAACTTTTCCAACTCTGTTTATATCAATGAATTATTTAGCAAAAAAATTATTAATATGTGTTTTGGTCAATCACTTCTAATTGATATTTTAAAATGTATTTTGTTGTTTGGTACATTCATGAGCATGTGGCCAGACAATTTTCTAAGAACACTTTTCTGAGATGCAATAAGAATAAATAAAACATAAAAAAAGTTGTTAAAATTACAAAAAAAGTTGTTTAACATATCATGCATTTTTTATGTTAATGCAGTTATTCTCTTTGTTCAAATTGCTGGTAATCTGGCGAATTATATAAAAAGTGTGTGTAGCATTTTATCTCTAAAGTTACTGTGGCAAATATGCAAAAAAAATATTTACTGAAATGTAGATATTGAATTAAAACAAATATGTGTTCATTGGATTAAATAAGGAAAAAATTCTGCTTAGTTTGTAGTGCAGTGTTCTGCAGTAGTTAATGGCCAATAGTTTAAGAATATTTTATTCGTTTATATTTTTATTCAATTTTGGATATTATATGTTCTGATAAGACAATTGTTAAATATATAATATTATCTCTTTTCTAGGCTGCTGGCTGTGATCATGTTATGAATTCAAAAGTAGTCCTTGATCGCTGTGGAATTTGTGGTGGTAACAACAGTACTTGTAAAGAAATCAAAGGCTATTTTAATAAAAAAGTTGACTATGGTAATAAAGCTATACACCACTTTGACTTCTTTGTTATATTCTTTTAATCAGTATGGACCCCTGAAAAAAATTTGCATTTTAACTAATTATAAGTAAATTTGACTTCATTTAATTAATACCACTATCTTAAAATCTTTATTGATGTAATGTAGTAAAAATAAAAAATGTGTGAAAAAAGCATTTTCTTAATTTTTTTTCTGATTTTATCAAATTTAAATCCTATTTTATACCCTTTTCTAGAAAATTTTGAATTTATTATTTTTTTTCTTTGTAATTTATTATTATTATTTCGCTTTTTGTAATTTGTTTAATATTAATCTAGGTTATCATAATGTGGTTATGATACCACCTGGTGCTAGCAATGTTCGTATAATACAACACAGTTCAGATGGAAATGTTGATGATAACTACATTGGTGAGAAAATTAATATCATATTCCTATTTAATATTTCATTGGTCTTACTATAATACTAACCTGTTCTCTATTTTTCATTAAAATGGTCTTTTTTTAATGTTAACAAGAGACCTGGTGTAAAGAAAATGCTGGTGTAATTGTATGTTTGTAGAAAAATGATGTAATTCTAAAAGAGAGCAGACATTTAATTAGCTGCTCAAATAGCAATAAAAAATTATCTTTCAACAAGTGAAATAGTCCCAATATATAGAATAGATAACAGATCTGTATTTTTTCACTCTTATAAAAAATTGAACTTGTAAACATTTTAAGACACCAACTCTTTTTATTAAGACACTATTTGGTTGATTTTGTCATACAAGTTATTTAACTAGATAAAATTGTGAAGTTTTGAGTTTTGCAGTGCAATTGTGGACATTGACATTTTAAGACATTTGAAATTTTACATTGAAAAGCTTTACAAGCGTGTTTGAGTTTAAAAGCTTCTTTTTTGCTTATTAATGTTTTTTTAATTTTTTTGAAAGCATTATTCTTTTTTGATATATTTCAATTAATTGGCAAATAAAAAAAACGAGATAAAAGCATAAAAGCTGTTGGGCATTTTTTTTAATTATAAAAACAATATATTGAAGGTACTTTTGAATTAGTTTTTATCTTTGTATCTTGCATTTTGATTTTGTATTGTGTATCTTTTTATATTTCTTAACATAGGAAAAAATTCTATTTAAAGCAATATAAAAAATATTTTACAATGACAGCTTAGTAACGGATTCATTGACGTTTTTAAGTTTTTTTTGTGACCAATGGAGTTTCTCTGAAAACAAGGCTAATAAATTTATTTATGGATTCTTACTATGAACTATAGAATAATTTACTTTGTTAAATGAAAATTAGTAATTCTTAATTTTTTTCATTATAAATATAGATTTTATATATTTTTAAAATTATGCCTAAAACATGAATAAAAAACTCTCAGTTATTGAGAGATGAAAGCTAAGACTGTTTTGCATAAGTTTCCAGCACTGCCGAATTCAGTCTATAAAATCTTTCAATAATGCAAACAATCTAACAAAAAGATTTGTTTTAATTAGAGCAATAACAAAACACTTTTTTTGTACTTGAATTACTTATATTGCTTTGTTCACTTGATATTTAAAAGATTTTTTCTTTTCAAAATATGTTTACAAAATATTTTATATGAAGATTTTTAATTTAGAGTTTTATGTGTTTTGCTATTTCATTTTATAATGTTTGAATTTATACCTTTATTTTGTCTGTTATAGCCCCTAAGCCATAAACAACTTAGTCTGTTAGTCTTAAGATACTTCAAAATGTCTTATTTCCCATTCATAATAAAATTGGTGTGTGGTAGGTTTGATTTTGAAGTAGCTAAGCAGTTGTAGTTTCTTTTAATTTGTTGAACTTTTCATTTAAAATATTTAAAATTCTTAAATAATTTAGAATGATATATTTTGTATTCATCATTTTGTAAATTTTCCTAGTTTTAAAATTTTAATCAGTAATACAATCATATTATGTAAATTCATAACAATAAACTGCAAAACATGCACTGTAAATTGTATTAAAGTGTAAATATATATATTTTCTTTGTTCTGGAATATTCTTCGGCTTCATAATAAGAAACTAAATTCTCTGTTAATTTCTCTGTTTTTGTTATATTTTCAGTTTATTTTGGCTATAGCATTTTATAGAGAGCTAAATTTAATTGGAAAATAAACACAACATATAAAGTAGAGTAATATTGTTTTTTGATAGATATTTAGAAAAAAATTACACATAGATTTACATATATTAAGATTAAAATTTTCCGAGTTTGTAGTTATTGTTTTTTAAGATTTATACTATAGAAGAAAAAAATTGGGAAATTCTATTGTTTTCTAGGAAGTATAGTAACTTATAATAAACAGTGTCAAAACATGCTGAACTGAGGAAAATTGATACCTTATGAATTTTTGACACTTAGTATATATATATATATATATANTGTTTATATATATATATATATATATATTCTTTTAGGGTCAATCTTTTTTATTATAATAAAAAAGAAATTTACTTAAGTTTCAATCTATCACAAGTTGTGTGCTGTCATACCCTGTTTGGCAGTTTGTCAAGCTACCTTATAAATTAGGGAATGTTGATGCAAATATGGAATAAAAGCTAAGAAATTTGACATGATAGTATACTGCAGAGTATTACAGCATTAAACTCCTCTTAAAAAAATTTCAAAAAATAAACTTAGTATTCTAAACATATTGCTAATGCTTTTTATCTACTAAAAGAGATATCGCTAGATATACTTTAGTTGAGCAAAAAAAATCACATTATTTTACTAATGATCCTATCACAAATTGGTACTTGAGCATTTTTGGCATTATAAATTGGTCTTCACTTCTGCTGTAAGAAACTAAATTGTAGTAAGAAACTAATTCTGGTATGAGAAACTGAAAAAAAGGGTCTCAGCTTTTGCCAAAGTAAAGTTATAATTTAATCAAATTTTCTCACATTGTGTTGAAATTTCTAGTCTTGTCAGGTTTTTTTTTCTCTAATTTCATTTTTGAATCTAGAATTGTAAATCAGAATTTTTCATTCAGCTGAAGGTATAATTTTCTATCTTAGAAATGATGTACCTAATAAAGAGCCCGGGAGAGCTCCATCCCAAATATTTATATTCATTGCCTCCTTAGGTACTATTAAGAGTATTTGTACTCAGGGTCAGACTGGTGATAGACCAGAAAAAGTGATTGTCCCCTGGACCCCAGTCTAAATAGTGTGCTTTCCTTAAAGATGGTGCCCACTGACGCCATGTCCTTTTGAACAAAAAAAGAGCTTTTAAAAGAAATTTATATAATTTTAAAAAATTACTTTGTCTTAATTTATTTTATTATTGGCATTATGAATAAAATATTTATTTAGAATTTTATTGAATGAATAAGTCTGACAATTAAGCTAAGTAAGCTACATAGGTGCTTTGTAATTTAAATAAGTTTAAAGAACTGCACCTTCAGCCTATGTGCAAAAATGTTTGATTTTACAAACTTTTGAGTCGACAAACTGGGACCCTACCTACAAAATTCTGAGACTAAGGAATCCTTTACAAATCAGTCCCCTTTTAAAGGTAGAAAAAATATTTCTATCCAAAAAGATACTTCAACTTTGCAATGATGAATTATGAAACAAAAAAAAAGCATGCCCACGATTACAGCATAATATACATAAAATTATGAGTTAACAGGCTTGATTTTACAAACCAGAGCTCCACTTGCAAAATATTTTGAACCAAGGAGCCCATAAAACCTCTTCCCCTTTAAAAATGGAAGTAGGAAAAAAACCGAGAAATACTTCTATACAAAATGAGGAATTATGAAACATAATCATACTTAATATTGCAGCATTATGTGCATTACGTTCTGAGTTAACAAACTTTTGATTGTAAAAACTCGATCCCACCTTCAAAGTGTTTGGAACTAAGGAGCCTTTAAAAATTTGCTCTCTTTCCCCTAAAAATGGAAGAAGCAAAAACACTTCTATCCTAAATGATGCCTTACCTTGTCAATAATAAATTATTAAACAAAAACGTGCTTAATAATGCGATAATGAACATGAAATTCTGAGTTAACAAGCTTTTAGTTGTACAAACTAGGATCTTACCTGCAAAATGTTTGAAACCAAGGGGATCTTAAAAGTCAGCCCCCACCCTAAAACCGAAAGATGGAGAAAAAAAATACTTCTGTGATAAATGATACTTCAACTTTCCTATAATTAATAGTGAAACAAAAGCATACTTACTATTGCGGCAATAATATTTAATTCAGTTTAAAACATTAAGAGCAATTATTAATTTCTGTTTAATATTTTAATATTAAACAAAAAAAAGTTGAATATGTATTATAAAATTTATACAACTTTATCAATTCTGATGAAAAAATGATAAGCTTTAAGTTTCTTGAAAATAAATATTACATCATTCACAGCCATTCTTGCATAATTCATTGCACGTAGTACAGATCAGATGGTCCCTCTCGTCCAATGTTTTTTTTTTATAACAGATCTTTAAAGTTAATAGATTTTATAAATTTTATTCAAATTTAGTTGAAATCTGTAAAAATCAAAACAATAAATTATTTTATAGTTCTTCCTTTTCTTTCTATTTAATTCTCGCCTCTCTTGTTTGTTTTGTCAAGGTAATTAACGCTTTTCGAAGAGGAAGGGAAAAAAGAAAAGAAATTGAGTTGTCATTGTGTTTATCGGAATTCAGGACCACCTAAGAAATTTCCTAACTGATCAGATCAAATTTCAAAACTATTTAGTTCAAACTAGATTGGAAAAAGCCTAATGTTTTAAACCTTTTATTGAATTTTCTCTCGTGCAGTGCCTAAGGGGAACAAGGGGGCAGTTATTCTGAAGACAATTGGTAGGGAATATGTAGTAGGTTTCAACATTCTTTAGATTCCACAGATTTATATTCTTTTTCCTGGACTTATAGATGTATTGACAATGATTATGACTCATTTGCAGCTGAAAATTGTTTCTAAATTGAAAACAATTTTTAAACTGTTTTCATCTAAAACTTCCGAAATGTGTTTTGTAAATTGCTGCAATATCTCAAAATAAGGAAACAAGTTGAACTAAATCAACTAATTTTTGCTGATTTCAAATTGGTTATGCAATGAAGAGTAGTTTAAATAAATGCAAATATTATAGCACTCATAACAATGTATGCATATTAATATTCTTTACTGATTCAAAAAAAAAATCATTGATTTTATTCTCTATACTTTTTTTTTACAAAAAATAGTCTTCACGTATCAGTTTTTTAATGTTGAAATGCTCCAGTCAGTGGTAAATTTATAACAAATATTTTAGTTTCTGGGAATTTTGATATTGATTAAGTAAAAGAAAAACATGCTAAGTTATTTTTTGGGTTACACAAGTTTCAACGACTGTTTGAAGCTGTTTTAACAGTCTAGATTTAAGAAAAAATAAAAAATATTTTTGGAAACAGAACAAACTAGTTTCCTGTCATATATTTTATTGTTAATAATTAAATTAAGGCCTTACAAAACTAGTTTTTATTCAATAAATTTTAAAATAAACAATGTTACTAAAAAGTAAGTGCTTTAAAATTAAATCTAAGATATTGAGCTCATTAAACTATGTTTAACATTTTTTTATAAATTCTCAAATCAATACTAAGCAAAATCAATAACAGTTTATTAACATTCATAAGAAATTGAGGACATTTTTTAAAGCGCCCCTAACACTAAATCCCACCCTGTTTGTACCTTCTCTTTAGTTGAGTCATCATTTAAAAGTAAGCAGGAAAAGGAGAGAAAAAACTAACTTATGTTTATTTAATGAAATGATCTAGCTGAGAAGGAAATAAAATATAACAAATATGCAAATAAAATTTTTCATTGTTTGTTTTTAATGATTTCAATGCTTCAGTTACTTATTAAAGTAATAATTTGTGTATCTTAACTATAAGGAAGGAGTTAAAGATTGTTTGAAATTACTCTTTTATAAGTAATTCAGAATTATAAATTTGATTATTTTAATGCTTTCAAATTTAAATTATTTTAGTCTTCATTTGATGTTATTAAAATGGCACTTTAAGAATCAGTCATTAGTTTATCACAATTAACTAATAATATTAATTACTTTAATTTAGCTCTTAGATAATTATTTTGTTTCATCATTTTTATATCAAGTTTGCAATGAAATGTATGCAAGTCTCTATAGTTTAAGCATTGTGTTTAATGAAAATTGACATTTTGTGTTCACAAATTTTGTAATTCTTAACAAAGTAACAAAATTGTATCTTCAATTATATGACAATTTTGGTGATGGGCATTATATTACAGGTAAGCCTTTTTTATTTTTAATAAAAGCAAAGTTTTCTAATCTTATTGTGTCATTGTAAAAGGTATGTATAATGTTCATGTTTTATTTTCTTATATTTGTTATTTAACTATGTTGTGTATAATTTTGATATGTCATGTCATAATGTCATTAAAGTAAATAAATAAAATGTTATTTACTCTTTTGTCTATTCAGCTCTTAAAGATCCTAGTGATAAATATATTTTAAATGGAGATTTTATGATAAGCATGTTCCCAAAAACATTACTGTACCATGGCGTTTCTATTGACTACTCAGGAAGTCATTCTGTTATTGAGCATGTGAATACTTCTGAACCGCTGCCAAAAGATTTGTTTGTACAAGTAAGTGTCAGAATTATAAGACAAAACTTAGTTTTTTTTCTTCATATTATTTCATACTTTGATTATATTTCTTACATTCTATATTAAAAAACAGGGCAAGGGCTTTGTTAAAAATTAATTAAAAATAACTGGTATACCTATTGAAGACTAAAGCAATAATCTATTATTCTGTAAAAATACATTTCAAATGCTTGGTGAGATGCTTTTATAAGTGTTTTTATTAAAAGAAAGCATCTACTTGGTATTTTTATTAAAAAAAATGGAAATAATTATAAATCATTTATTCTTCTTTCTTATTAGTATCTGAAAATCAAACTTTATTTACAAACAACTGAGATTTTCAATGTAGGAATATTTTGTCAGTTTTTACTTATTTAACCATTTAAAACTTTATTACCTATGGTATTTTTCATGTAAACTTTAAGCCTTTTATTTGCTATGTTGTAATTTAAGAGCTACCTATAAAACTACTTTTATGAAGATTTTGCTGCCGTGATTAAATTTTGAATGCTGTGGAATTTTAAGTTTGAAGATAATTTTATAAATTTAGTTATTTAAAATTATCTTTAAATTTAAAGTCAGGCTACCAAAATAGAGGAGCCATCCCCTCTGCAGAAATCGACCAAATTTTTGATTGCATGTATACGGATCATCCTTGAGGAGGTTTCACAGACCATTGCCAATAGCCAGTTATGCAGCTCTAACGTGACGTAAATAAAGTACTGTCGTTCCCACTTAATTGCATATCAGATAATCGAATAACCCACTTATACAAATAAAATTTAATGTGTGTGTGGAACCAAATCTTTATATGAAACTATAAATTTCCCTATTTAAATGAATAGTTGTTGTTTCCTGTCCTTGCTTAATTGCATAAAGAGGTACTGAAATGAAAAAAAAATTTTATTTTATTTTTAAGAAATGTTTCACTAGCTAAAATGAAATTTTCAGTTATGAAAATTTGAATACAATAAGTGGTCGCAATAGGGGCTTCCTGTTTAATTGTTGCTCTGAACAGGTGTTAGGAGTATAGTTTAAGAATTAATCAAAGCTTGCTGGCAGTTATACATTGAAATCAATGAAGGGGGTTTTACCTTTCTTTGACTTACTTCACTCACAGATAATTTAGAACATAAAAAGGTACAGAGTGACTTATTTTGCAGTGAAGACTTATGGTCCCCTCTTGGTATGCTACTAGCTTTGATAAGAAAAAGTTTAAAAAATCTAACAAATTAGTGTACAGTGTGTCTTTCTCTAAAGTCAAATAATCATTGCTTATTTCAGTGAGTACAAGATGAGTTTGAAAAGGAATGATTTGAAATAATCGAAAATAATCGAAGTTTGGCAAGAAATAAATATCAAAAATCCCAAACTGAAATTGCAAATTAATTTGAAATTTCTCAAATTTTGAGGATAAAGAAAAAGAAAAAATTCTGAAATTCTTAGTAAAAAAATAAAGGGAAAATCGAATTTTGATAAAATGACAAATTAAATGGGTATAGAAACAGGCTTTAAATATAAATTTTTTCAAAAGAAACAAAGTAATATTATAGTACCTGTATTATTTTTTTATTAACATAGATTTATTTTTCTATAACTTTAAATGACATTTATATTTTAGAATACTAACACACAGTTTAAATTATAATTGTTTATTGATCATAAAATTGAGTTTATTTATGAAACAGAATATATACTGTGCATTAAATATTATTAAAAAGTAAACTTTTGTAAAAATTGAATATTTAAAATTTAATAATGCTCTCCACTTTAAATCGAATAACCCACTTAACTGAATAGTGTTGGCTGGCACCAATAGTATTCCTTTAAGCGGGGTTGACTGTACCAGCATATCTTTATTTATTATTACGTTAAATATTATATTATTAAGATGCCAATAAATTAAATAAGCATAAAATAAGGGTATTGAATAGCTGAAATTGTTTATTTTAAACTCTTAACTTATGTCCAATTTCAACAAATGTTTTTACTTCTATAGGTTCTTGTTGTTGGAATGCTACAACCCCCAAATATAAGTTTTAGTTATACTGTGCCTATAACAGAAAAGCAATTGTATAATTGGAAAGTTGCCACACAATATTCTGAGTGCTCAAGAATATGCAACGGTAATAAATAATTCTATAAATACATGAAATTCTAAATTTCATATTCTGAAATGTTTGAATTTCTCATAAGTTTGTACACATGTTAAAATTTAAATATATATATACCTTAGTTTATACTTAACTATTTATAAAAATGTGATGTTAATGAAATTTTTGCTTTTCATGCAGGCATTAGCTCTTTAAAGCCAGTTTGTGTACGTATTTCTGATCAATATCATGTAAATGATAATCACTGTGCAGACATCTCCAAACCTAGTCTGCAAAAAACACGTAAATGTAATGAACACTGCTATCTTTCGTAAGTATTTTTAATAAAGTATTTTCTATTTTTGTGTTTTGTAATAAGTGTAGCACCTGCAACAATCTAAATTGTAAGAAAATAAAGAGCATAATTAAATGTTATTTGAATTTCAATAAGTATTATAAAAGACTAAAGGCTTTCTTAAAAATAACAAACTACCAACTTAGTTTCGATGTGAAATAAAAATATTATGAAGATCTTTGTTATTTAACTATCTGGATATTGATTGGATATTTAACTATCTGAAAATTTCCTTGAGTTTTTGAATTTTTTAATGGGTGGTATTTACTCAGCAAGCTTTGAGGGAGTCTCATTTCCTATAGGAGGGAATCAGTCAAATTAAAAAGCAAACGCAGAAATTGCAGATTTATTTAAAAGCTGCTCTGCAGCTTTCATGTTGTTTTGAAAACCATTAAAATTTATTTAAACTAAATCAAAAGATTGATAAAATAGCATACACTAAAATGTTTTTGGATATTTTGAAATATGAATTGCCAGGAACATTGCAGCAAGTGAAGCAGAGGAAAGATATAAATATAGGTATGAAATATCCATTAAAATTTTAACCCTTTAAGAGCAATCCACTTTCATAAGAAATATTCAGACAGTTTCATCTTGCTAAATACCACTCATTGCTGATTCTTCTCTGACAATAGGAAAATGGCTGCTCCTTTTATTGTAAAGCTTACAATTACAGCATTACTATTAAAATTTTTTAAAACTTAAACTACCATTTGTATTTTTTTAACTTATCAAAAAAATTGTCTAAAACTTTATTACTTTTTTAAATCTGTAAAACTGTTGCAACATTTATGCTATAAAGTACTGTGAATGTATTACTCCTACTATATTGATATTGTTACCTGCTATATATATATAATTTATGATTAATATTATGTATTGTTTCTCAGTTGGAAAAATGTAAGCCAATCTCCTTGTTCTGTTCAATGTGGAAGAGGTATACGACGAAAAATAATCAAATGCATGAAAGAAGAAATATCAACAAAAATCGCTCATGGTGTTCCTGAAGAAAATTGTGCGCATCTGGGACCAAAGCCAACTGCACAAGAAAAGTGTTGGGGTACATGTCATAATTCAAAATGGATATATTCTGAATGGTCAGAGGTAATGATTTGTGCAGTTTAAAATTTTTTTATTATATTTTATATTTTAATATTGATGGTTAATGAAATATAACCTGTCACTTTCTTTGTGAGTTGTTAATAAATGTTTTGATTGATAAATATTGTTCTGGTAGGATTTTTTACTACTGTCATAAACTTTAAGATCACTTATATATAGTTTACTTATAAGAATCTCTTTTAATAAATCACCATTATTAAAGGGTGCTTAATTAATGCCTTTGCATTATGCCATTCGAAACATGCTTGCATGGTAATTTTAAATATGCCATTCGAATAAATATACCTTTTATAATTCAAGCAGAGAAAATCTATATTCTATCATTCAAACAGGTCTACAACATTTCAATTTAATGTTTTTGTTATCATTAAATTGCATTGTTATAATTTATCCAAAGTTAAGGTATTTCATTTTTACAGAGAAAGATTTATACTTAAAATATAATATTGAAGTAAGATATTGAAATAAAGTAATTGAAATATTCAAAGTGACAGACTTGTCATATTTTACTTGCCATATTTTTTTATTCCAATATTTCTTATCAATTGTTGGGTTTATAATCAAATTAATCAGTGTGTAATACACGTAAATAAAATTTATAAACTACTCAACCTTTTCTAAGCTCATTCGATAAATTAAAAGAAAAATGATCTTATTAAAATTCTGATGCAAATAAGATACACTTCATTTATATATTTCAATATTTTATTAAATTGGTTCTTTTTTTAAGCACAAAATCAGATACATGCTAAGCATTGAACTAAAGAGAAAGCACATCACTTTTAGTTTATAAAGTTTGGAATTAAAGAAGGGAGAAAATACTTGTAGGGCTACTTGACTTGTCCAATAACTCGCTTTTAGGCAGAGAATACACTGAGATGTTGAACATTTGGATAAATGCAACCATTTAATTTTTTAAAAAATTTTAAGAGGAATGGTTTTCTAGATTTTTCACTGAATATATTAACATTTACTTTGAATTATTAGGATTTTGCACCCTAATCCTTCAACATTGCCTTTTATTCCATTTATTTTCTTGGCATAAAAGGAAAATAATGGCAGCTCTTGTATTTGAAAAAAAATCTGAAGTTATTGTTTTAAAATTTTTTCATTAAATAAATGGGATAATTACTTTTATTTGAAAAGAGCAGACATGTAACCCTCAAAATTTCTCTTTTAACTACACTGCTTTCAATTTAACTAAGAGTCAACGGGCTTATAATGCTTGTAAAAAATTGTGAGCTCGTTAGTTTTCTATATAATTCTTTATAATCGAAGATTTTGCAATGTGGAGAAGACTGGAGGGTCGCAATATGTCTATGTGTGTGACCGGCAGAATGTTAAAGATAAAATTAAAAACTTATTCTGAAATAAATATTGCAAAAATCTTTTAAATGGCAATTTACTATCACAGATAGTTATTTTCATAGTGAGCTTGTCATTATAAAGCAAATACTAATATTTAATGTCAAAGTAACAATGGTAGATGTTAAAAGATGATTTAACAATGAAACAGACACATTTACTGCTTTTCTTTTAACTTTGATTAACTATTTCAACTTAAATTAAATATCTAGAATAGACTAGACGAGTCAACAGATTGTGCATTAGACTGGAAGTTTTTGCTAGAAAGAAGGAAAAGAAAGGAAATATTGCTTTTGACATTAACACTAAATATTGCTTTCAAAGATAAACTGTCAAAAAGGGAAATAAGATAACAGGATAGATTTGTGGTCACCAGAAGTTGCATTCTTTTGAAGTGTGTGGCAGTAATTTTTTGTAAGAAAGAAGAGAACTTGGTGTGGATAACCCCCACTAGTTTGATCTTTAAACATATATAGGTTAAGATTGTAAGAAGGAAGTCACATAAAGTTTATTTCTCGCTATATTGATACCAGAAATAAATAAAAATATCTTCAATTTTGCCATTTTTTGTTTACTTAAACTATGAAAAATATATTTAAAAAAATACATAAACTGCAGAATTAGACTAATTTTATCTTGTTATCAACATACAGTGTACATCTCTTTAATATTAGCATTTTGATGGTAAAATGGAAACTTACCATTATGTTGAATTTTTGTATTATGACAAACTTACTATATTGAGCTTTTACTGTAAATGTGTTCCTAAAAGCGACTCAATTTTGTAAATGTTTGCTTTTTTAATTCGCTGATAATCCTGCATGTGGAAACTTGAATTGCAAAGAGATTTTTTTTCAGCATGGCTAATTATTTTTTCTCATGCTATTGTATCGAAGAAACGGTGTTTATGGGAAAAAAATATTCTCAATTTTGTCCATTGGCAAAAGCATCAGAGAATTAATAAATCGCCTAATTTGCTTTGAATTCAGTTGCAGGCAAATCAATGGTTAATTTTAAGTAGGTTTGCCAAACTTATTTGTTTCCAAACTTGTTTGTTCAAACGTTTCTACTTTATATGCAATATAAACATTAGTTTTAGCTGAAATGTCTGAAAAATTGCTTGTATTTTTTATCTAGTGTTCAGTTTCTTGTGGGGAAGGTACTCAGCAACGTTCTTCTGAATGTCGCAATGAAGAAAATTCGAAACAACCTGATAGTCACTGTGATCCAACAACAAGAGTTGTTTCTAAAAGTTGTAATATGGGTGATTGTCCAAGCTGGAAAGTTGGAAACTGGACAGAGGTAAAAACATTATTCATCATGAAATATTATCTAGCCTAATTTTATCTCTTTACCTAGCCTACTTTTCTACGTTTACGGTTGTTTCATTTTCTTTAACAAATAAGAGATTTAAATTTTTTAAGAATTTAATTCCACTAATGTTTAATTTTGAAAGTTGACTAGGTACTCTTTATTCTGGAATAAAATAATGTTTAAAACAGTAATGTGCATAATTACTTTTATATTTGTATTTGTATAGTTTTCTATATACAAAATGAGTTAGTTTATTATTCTTCAATTTTATACTTTTGTACTGTTTTCTTCGATAAAAATTAGAAAATAGCCTCAGGAATTTGTAAGATTTATAGATTTATATTACACAAAAGATTATGTTCTCTTTCCAAAATCACTTCCAATTTTTCGGAAGTAATATAATTAGTTCAGTTGGCAAAAAAAGAAAAAAATTATTAAGTGTTTATTATTGAATTGCCTTGAAGGAAGTTGCAATTTTAATATTTTGAGATGCACTAATGAACTTAGAGCAAACAATAGTTATTAAATTTTCAAAATTTGGCCCAAAAACTTACTTTTTTTTTTACAAAATTTACGAACAAAATTTACTAAATGTTTTAGTAGTTTAGTCAAGTGAATGATTTAAAGTTTGAGCCACATGTTGTTACAAAATATTTAGATTAAGGAAACACATCAGAGTCAAGAGTTCAAAAAATCAACTATAGTCTCATCTATGGTATTCATCTAATGTTTTGTTAATTTTTTCTATGCTATTGATTTTTCTTACTGTATAAAGCATAGTGTATACATACAAACTTTTTTTAGCATAAATAAACAGAGTCCTGTGTTGTATTTAAAATGTAACCAAATAGTTAATTTGGTTACCAACATTGTTTCAAATATAAATACTAAAATTTATATCATTTTCTACAATTATTTAGACATTTTTTGCAAAACTACTTTGTGAGTTTCTTTAGCACATTCAAGCTAACATGCCCCAGGTATCAAATATTACACACCATGTAAAAACAGGTTAAAAATTAATTTCTGATTGCTAAAAATCTTGTAGCATTTAGGAACATTGAAAGTTATAAGAATTGATACTAATTTATGCTTTATACATTTTTACAAGTTTATAGTAGGACTTAGAGCAATGCTTCTTTAGTAAAATACATTATATATATATATATATATACAAAATTGGCCATTTGCATTTTATTGCCTATATGGAATACACAAATTCCATGTAGTCAATAAGTTGTTTTCATACATTGTGCTGGTATTTTAAAAAAGTTCTGGTTTCATGCCTATCTGAAAACAATACTGAGGAACAGTTTATACGAAAATGTCTCTTTTAGAAAAAATGTTGCTCAATACTATATTTCTCCAAAACTTTTTAATTTCTAATTCTCTTTTTGAGATTTATTTGAACATTCATTGATTTATGAAATTGTTTCTGATGTTTTTAATCCTCTGAAAACAAGATGATGGATTCTGAAAAATCCTCTCTATTTTTAATCAGCTATTATTGTAGTTGGAATTTTCATTGGAGTGGCAATATAGCATTTGTCTATTTATAATTAATGGCAAATAGAAAAAAGAAAGGAATACTTTTTTTCCTTTCAAATTTTTTGATTAAATCTTCTTTAGTGAAATGATTATTCAAACTGATTGTAAATGAGTGTTAAGTGGGTAGCTCTGGCACCAAAATCAAAAATAAACTTTTCTGCATATTTGAAACTCTCATACTGTGTATAAAGTGATGTGATAAATATAATATTCACTGACTACCAAGTTTTGAAAGAATTAAAAGCACATATACTGGCTAAATAACATATATCGCACAAATTTTTTTTTTTTTTTTTTTTTTTAAATTTAAATTGTGTTTTTCAGAAAAAATTTTTAAATTCTTTTTGTTTCAGAAAATTATTATTCATTCTATTACTATTTCGTTTCTTTAAGATTAAATATAATTCAACATAACAACTTAACATACTATTTTTTATACTTCCAATTTTTAAAAGTTCATTTTACCAATTATTCAGTTCATGGCATGTTTAGTAATCTTGTAAAGCTTAAATAAAATTCTAAATTAGAGATATTAAAATTTCAACACTATGTTCTGGAGAATTTGACTAACTGCTATCCTAAAATGTAAAAGGAAATCAAATGGATTTGGGAACATGGGTGAGATAATGTTGAAAAACGTTGTGCAAGAATGTATTAGTCTTCATGAGTTCTTCAAAGTCCTTAATTTGGAAATCATGTTCATTATTTTATTCACAATTTGTTTTCAGAAAACTCAAATAAGTATATTTGGTTTTTAAAGTTCATAAGCTTACCCCTTTCGAACAAGTTTGCCCTTCCTATAAATTTTCATAAGTTAACTTATATTGTTAGTTATATTAACATATAACTAACTACAAGTTAACTTAATTTTAATATTCATAACTAAACATTTTTAACACAGTTAAAAGTATTTCCAATATCCAATCAACATAAATAACAGTACTAAAAAAATATTTATAATTATTTTTAATCACACAATTTTGCATAGGGAGTGTTTCATCCATAAGATAAGTGCAGGATCTATATCTGAGTTTATGGTACAGACATAACATCTATTGATACCTTGGTTTTTGCTAGTAGAGCATTGAAAATAAAGATTTAAAACAGTTAAAATAAAAGATAAGATTGTTTCAAAAGGAAAATCTTAAATTTTAATATTTTGAGCTGTATTTATTACAGAAATTGTTAAAGAATGATATGCTTATTCTCCGAATCTATGTCATGTCAAAATGTCATGTAACATTAAAAATATTTTAAGAAAAATACTAAAATTTTAATTAACTGCAGTTTAAAAGCAAATAACATAAATCATAAGTATTTAAATTATATTAATACTAATTCAATTATATTAATACTAATTCAGTTATATTAATACTAATTCAATTACATTAATACTAATTAAATTATGTTAATGTTAAATAAATTTTTATTAATACTAGTTAAACTATTAATACTAATTAAATTATCATTTAATAATAAATTTAAATTATAACTGGACTAAGAGACATTTAATTATATTTAAATTTGCCACATGCACACATCAGTATCTTAATATTTTTTAGCATCTAAAATGCTCTTGTTATGTGCATTCAATCAAATTTTATTAGATATATTAATACTAAAAACTCACAGCATACATTATGAAACTTCCCCAGAAATAAAATTTAATAGAAAAAAAAGCTGTTAGCTTGAGTAAATAAATTTAGACAAAACCTTTTAGCAAATTAAGCTTCCGCAAATATTCAAATTTTTAAGTCATTTCCAAATTATATATGGAAATGAATGAGTGGTACAACTGTTGTGGATACGTTATATGTTTATGTCAGCCAACTTTATTGAATTTTGCTAAATTTTCCTAGCCTAACCAGAAATTCTAACTTTTGTATAGTTTATAAGATTCTCAAAAAAATTAGGAACTCTAAAAGTATCCTTTTCAAAATAGATTCTTCACTCAGCTTATTGCATGCTTAAAAATTTAAATAAGTAGGGATGCTAACTGATGAATTAAGCCTCAAATAAAAAGTCATTCAAATAAAATATTTCTTTTTAACGATGAGTTAGAATCAAGAATATATTGCAATTATTTTACATTAATTTTATATCTTTTACTTTTGAAATCTTTAATAAACACAATAAATCTTTTTATATTTAAATCCATTTAATAAATCACAAATTAAAATATTGCAATCAATCCAAATGCATAATTTTCTGTGTAAATATAAGTTTTTGTTACTTTTACTTTACTGATTATACTTATGTGGAGACTATTATGTTGCTCAATAATTTGCATGTTTTTTATCATATCTTAAAAATTACTAATTTTTTTTTCCAATTTGCATTAGCTTACTGTACATTTTACATTATAATAAAGGCAAAATTAGCTCATAAAAATTGCAATGTACATATATATTTTTTTCATAGTGTTCTGTAACATGTGGTTCTGGTATAAAACAACGCCCATATTGGTGCCAACACAATGAAAAGTATGTTGATCAGCGATATTGTAGTGAGAATGAAACACCTAATGCAAAAGAAATTTGCAACTCTGGTGAATGTTATGATTGGCGTGCAGAAGACTGGGAACCTGTAAGTAAACTAACAGATTAGAGAGCCAATAATATGAATTATATCAAAAAATCCAATCTCCTAGCTTATGTAAACTGGACTAAGAGATTTTTAGTTGTATTTAAATTTGCCACCACTATATTTAAACACATAAATATTCTGAAGGCTTTGTATATGCTCACATTTAATTGTTCCAATGTATTGTGAAAAATATATGATATGCTATGTGATTATTGCAGACAAAAAGGGGTAGATGAGGTTCAATATTCTCATAAATTTACTTATACAATAACCTAACACCTACAGTAAATAACCTAACAGCTTTTTAAATCAATAATTATTTAATTATTTTTTCTTCTTAGCCTGTCGCACAAAGTTTTCTACAGATAGCTCTATTCCTGACTTTGATCTTCAAGTTAAAGATCTTTAAGTTTTTAAGTCATTCACGACATCATCCATCGACCTTTTCTTTGATCTGCCTCTTAACATGGGCTTTTAATGCAAGATCCACTCTGTCAGGTGATCTTTCAATGTGACCAAACTATGAATGTCTCTGTACTTTGATGCATTTTACATTGTTTCTATACTTGATAAAAGCTCTCTATTCCACATTAGTTTTTATTCTCCAATAATTATTAGTCAGCTGTCATTCCTCTACAGTATAAAATATGAGGTTGGAAATCATTTACCAGCATTTTGGTTACTTTATTAAAACTTTATACTTTTATTTTAGCTATGATTTTCTATAAGTTCTTCAATCTTATTATTTAGAAAATATTTTTTTTTATCTTTGTACATAATTTATTTGTAATTTTGTGTTTACATTCATAGTCTTCCCTAAACTAGCAGAAAAATAACTTGGGGCCCTCATTGGACCATTATTCAAGAATCTTGTCTCAATAAGGGCATAAGGACTGATATTTTTCCATTATGGGTCTGATATAGAATTATCTGATTCACCCGATAATTTACTGCCAGTTTACATCCAATGTCAGCCCTATATAGAATTTTCAGATTCACACGATATTTTATAATTATCATTCAGCCAATATAAGCCCTATATAGGCAGATATTGACACTGCGTAAGACCAATATTAAGAAACATAGACATCCTAATATTGGTCTCGCTAAGCATGTTCTTATAGGACCCATATTCAGCCAATTTCGAGCCCAACTGGAGCCAAGATATAATTGTTGCTATGTTATTTGATCTGCTGTAGTTTTGTAAAATTTTTTGTTTTGCAATGTTCTTCAACTCCAAGGCATCTCAAAAACTCTTGAATAGAACCCCATTCAGTTTCAATATTAGTGTTTATAGATATATATTTAATATACTCTTGGACATATACTCTTGTTTTGTAGAATCATCCCTTAGCTTTTAAATAGAGAATCTATTTGAACATGAACATTGAAAATTTTATATCGAAATTTGGCAACTACAAGAAAAGGGAAAAGTCACAATTGGCTCACTTGAAGACTATAACATGTTGAATAGGCGTAGCCCATCTTTGGGGAGTTAGAATATGGTCAAATTAATTAAAATTATTTGTTCGTGGTATCAGTCATGTCCCCATGTCAATTGTTTATGTGGGAAGTACACACTCATTAGTTTAATGAAATTTATAGTGGCCATCTGAATCATAAATTTTCCATTTTCATTAGAATCTAAGTGAAATTGTGTGCTCTTCTGACATCTCTATAGATATACTCTTAGTTGATTTGAGTATTCACATCCCCAAGAACAATAACCTAATCTCCTCTGTTGTTTGAGTCCTTTAAGTATTTTCAATTGATTAAAACCTTTTAACAGAATTAAATTATCTCACTATTTTATTTAGTGTCTAGAAACTGTATTTGTTTTTTTTTAATATATAGTAACTGTTTAAAATCTTCATTATTTTCCAGTGTTCTGTCAGCTGTGGTAATGGAACTTCTTTACGAAATCTTTACTGTATCTCTTCCTCTCAAGTTAAAATGGATGAGTCTTTTTGTTCTCAAGTGATAAAGCCAGCTGAAAGAAGGAATTGTTCTACAAATATTTCATGTTCTGCAAATGTTAGTCCAAAACGGGCTACAAACATCTTTCAAAAATGGAAACCATCATTGCGTGTATATAGTGATGGTAATTCAATTCCTGGAGTTAATCATGCAATTTGGAAGGAAAATGCATGGTCGAAGGTAATTTCATATTGAATTTAAGTAAAGTTAACAGACATACCCACTTTTGGAATGACAGACCTTTTAGCCCACTTTTCTGTTAAAGTTCAGTCAAATGAAGAAATAAATAAAATATTGTTCAAAACTTCGGAAGGATTCTCAATGGGCCCACTTACACATGTGAATGAATTTTTAACAAATCTGATTTGAAAATATAAATCATGTGATGCTGTCTATTTGAATATTAAAGAAGAAAATTTTACACATGTGCCTGGTTACTGAAAGGCACATTCTCTCACTTACCTAAATGCTTACTGAGAGACTGCTCCTTTCTATGCATATTCATTGTCAAAGTTAAAATTATAATACTTTTAAAAACCTTTAGATTACAGATTAAAAAAAGCAAAAGACTTTAAATTTTATTAAAGTAAATACTTTTTTAATGAGAAATGGTTTAAAAAGAATATTATTAAATTCAAAAGAAAGTTCATTTTAAATAAAATCTCTATGAAATTTTTCTGAAATGCTTTGATTCCTTTCAAATGTATAAATAGTTTTTAAATGATCAACATTTATGAGGTTTTTTCTCCACTATTTATTTTAATTTATCGATATTGGTAAAATAATTCAAGAACTTAATATGTAGAAACTCTCAAAGATGCAAAGTAGTTTTATTTTAAAAAAGAGAAGAAGAAATGGAATATTACAATTTTAAGAATGATATTTTGAATTAAAGTATGAGTAAAAAGATTGCCTTTCTGTGAGTTTAAAAAAACAATATAATTAAAATAAAATTAAAAATAACTGTTCAATTATTAAAATTTATTTTCTATTTTTATTTAAGCTATAGATAGTTTATTTTATCAAATTAAATTTAAATTTATTGATTTTTTTTCAATTCATAATTCTAGTTTTAACTGCTATTAATTGAAAATAATTAAATTTAAACTGCTAAAAGTTTGAGGCATTTAGTCTATAAATAATTGTAGTGTTTATTTGAAGATAGTTTGAAATGCATTTTTCCTTATAATGAAATGAATCTTTCTTAAATTTAAATATATATATTTTAGACACAGAAAGCTGCAGCCAGTGTGTTTTTTAGTCAAACTCTTTCATCAAAAAAGTTTAATTAAACCAAAGCAAATGATAAAGGTATAGGCTACATTTCTTTGATAAGCATTCTTGAGTAGGTTTTACCCCCTCCCTATTTTTTGTAAAAGCAAAGCTAGTTTGGGTTTTTTCAGAAATATTTTAAATTTTTATTCCTTAGTCCTGATTGTATGATTTGCTTCAAACATGAAATGTTTAATAACTATTACTTGTTTTGTTACTGCATAAACATTTATTTTGGAAGTTCTAGATTGCTAGGTTATTATTTTTATTTCTATAAAGATATTGTTGCATAAAAATTTAAAATTATTTAATTAAAATATTCCAAATTTTTTTTTATTGCAATAACGCAAATTTAGTTACATAGCTTGTTGGGTTAGAATTCAAATTTTTGTTCAGTTACCATTGTAACTTAATCTGCATTTTTGTTTTTTAAAATCCCTATTCAGCTTTTGGTTACCTTAAAATTGTTCAAATCATTTTCCCCAAAGGAACTGCTTAGCAATGTTGTGTAAAGTTAATTCCTAAAAACAGTTTTGTATTCATTATTTTAGCTACAAATTTTGACTGTTTTAAAAACTGTTATATATAAAGCTTATTGTATCAGTAAATATTACTTATTTAATGTTTAATTGTAAAATGATTAATTTACATGTTTTCAATGTGTTTTTCATAAAATGTTTCATAATAGTGTACTATTACAGGATTATTTTATGTAAAAAAAAAAGAATTCCATTGTTAATTTTAAGTCTTTAATTTGGAATAATAATAGAAATCAAGCCATAATAGTAGAGAATAATATTAAAAAAGAATGATAATTAACGGTAACTAATAAATACCTTTAAAGAAATAAACAAATAATTAATATGTCAAATGAACTTTTCAATGTTTTCCCCCAAAAACTTAATCTTTTTTATTTAATCAAAAATTAATTGTGGATTTCAATTTATGAACTCAAACTGTACAAATCAAAAAAAAATTCTAAAATTTAATTTCATTTAAATGCTATCATAAAAAATTTATTATTAATTCATTTCATAAATATGATTAAAATATGAAAATATATAAATATATTATATATTTTATTATATTATTATAAAAATGTTATATGTTATTATGTTTTATAATAATATGTAAACTTAGTTTATAAATTATATCTTATAGTTAGCTTAAGAAATTTAATAACTTTTTCAAGTTACATAAATAAATTTATTTTCTTGAAACTGATAGTTTTTCATAAATGAAGTAAATTGATATGAATTATAGTTTAAACCTCTACAAATTGTCCAGATATTCAAAAATTCAAAATGTATATCATATATAATTATAGAACATTTATAATTTTTGAGAAGATAATAAGTAGTAATAATTTCATTTAAATAAAAAAATATTCATAAGGTTTTACGAGCCTCAATCAACAATGCATTCTTTATAAGAACAGATGCTTTACTTTTCTATCCTAATTAAAACAACATTCAAGACAAGTTGAATGTTGAAGTTCATTGAGCTAAATTATATAATAATTAAAGCTAAATTATCCAATTATTTTATCTTCAAATGTTTGCAAGTCTTAGGTAAATGACAATAATGTACTATTATTGTTCTTTTGAAGTGAAATATATTGGTCTAGTACAGTAAATATTGAAAACCCACCTTGAAAATAACCTGATTTTTTTCAAGTGTGCCCTCTTTAAGGGATCCTGATTCTCAAGATTTATAAAATGCTGACTCAGACTTTAATTTTAGTTTGAAATTCACTTTCCTATTAACTTTTATTTTTGCATTTCCTTTAAACCTGAACCATAAATAACGAATTTCAACTATTAATCAACCTTGAATTGCTGGCTGCTGGCGATATTGAATTTTTAAAATATATTTCAACACTTTGAAATGTGTGTGTGACTTATTAAATGTGTCGGAAGTTCACTAGGATTATACAAATATATTCAAATCCTTAGAAGATCAAATTATCTTAGTGCATTCAAATTATTTTAGGGTTCTTTTGTTTGCTTTGAATTCTTTTAACACCATATTAGTGTGAAAGTATTAAAATAAAACTTTTCAACTATTCTTCTTAAATGCATTTTGGCTTAGCCAAATTATAACTTAAATTTTTTGTTTCCAGTGTTCCAGTTCATGTGGTGAAGGATTTCGAAGGAGGAGTCTTACTTGTCACAATTTAGAAGATAATTCAAGACTGCCTTTAAGCCGTTGTAACCAAAAATCTAAACCTAAGACAGTTGAAAAATGTCTTGGGTCAGAGTGTAGTTTCTGGGAAGTTGGTGTCTGGTCAGAGGTAGGAAATTAAAATATCATTTGTTACAGTTTATCTTTATTTCCAAATTAGTCTGTTTCAGTGCTCTTGAAACATCTAATATTTTTACAATAGGACATTTTGCATTGATTTGAAAATTCTGATTTCCTTGAATAATTACAACTGATTATACTAAAAATTATTTAGTTTTAACATATTATTTTAACAATAATCATTTATAATTATCATGAAAAAATATGAAAACTCACAAAATGTTGTGTTAAAACCTATTTAGTTGCATGATTTAAATATCTCCATATACTTGTTTCTGCTGTACTGTTTCAATTATGGTTTAATCAGTTTGCAATAATAGTGAATATTCATGTATGGTGGGTGATTTTATGTAAATTTTTTCAAGTTTTGAATATAAAATTAATGTTACAGCATTTATTTTATCAGAATATAAATCCAATTTAACTGTATGAACAATATAAAAACAGAGCTGTTTCTGATTTCGGTAAAGGTCTCTTCATACTTAATACCATATTTTTGAAAAAACCATTTTGCTACAAATTAAATCTTGTGTTTTGCTATTTTCCCAATCTATGTATTTTATCTTGAACCTCCATCTACTTTTTATTGCTTTCCATCAAAAAGTTTCCATGCACAATTCCTATTTACTTGTTTACTATGAGTTTGAATTATCTTCAATAATAATTTTCAATTTTGGAGCTTCAGAAATATATATTGTTGTTCATAAATTTCTGGATTGTGGAATTTCTGGATCTGATCTGGCAAGATCCAGGGAAATATTTAAGTACTTAGCTAAGTTTGCAATGAAATCTTCAATAAATATTCTATTAAATATAAACTCTGGGTATTTCTGTTGAAAAATGGTATTTATTTTAGACTTTTAATCAAGTGAGTAATACTTTGATGAGATGCTAGGGTTACACTAATATAAATAATTTAAATTTTTATTTTAGAGGATTATGTCAAGAAATAAATTAACATTATATTTTTTTATGCAATGGAATAAAAATTTTCAGTAAATAAATTTAAATATTATATTTGTAATCTCAAGAACTATTATATCAACCTTTTTTTTTAATTTTCAAAGCAAGCTAACCCTTATATGTGTATTCAGGACTTAAACCCTCCCCTTTGATTATTGGTAGCCAAGTTGACAGCTTATTATACTCATACAAAACTAATACTCATTACTATAAAATAATATAACAATTTTAAGAAAACAGATCTTAATATTAAAGTTTTTTAGTGTTATTTTGGTTTGAAGTGTAAATTGGCCATTAATCTTTTTTACAGCTTTATAAAGCAGTTGCTACTAGTTTGTGAGCATTTCAAACTGTATGTTTGAGGCTTAAAAATCATAAATTTTTGCTTCTGCATTTTAGGATATCAAATTATTTTTTATGCTGTAAAGACAAAATTATGTTTTTTTTTTTATAATCTCATTTTTGAAATATTTGACTCTCTCCTGTATTTGAATTTTCTAGTGTTTCTGTCTAGAAAACATTAAAAAAAGGAAAGTGAGTTGTAATTCAGAAGAACATATATGTAATTCTCAAACTAAGCCACATGCCACAGAGGTTTGTCAATGCAGTTTGCCACATCACTCAAACAGCACTTCACACTCTCATTGGAAAACTGGACCATGGGCCGAGGTGTGTACTTACTAATGTCATTTTTTATTACAAAATACATTTTTTATAAGTTTTTATTTTTATCTGTGATTGTATTAGTATCATATTTTAAGTCACTTGTAAAATTAAGGCATTTAAGTTTTTTGTCTTTTGATGAACACTATAATTATGGATTGTAGAAAATATGTTTTTCTAATACATTGGAAAGATTGACAGATGTAAAAAAGTATTTCTTTTTTTTATCATATGATTTGGCCACAGCCCAAGCATAAAATATTTAAAATTTAAATTATTTCTTGCAATATTTGGCGTAAACAAGTTGAAAAGAAAATAATGCAGCTTTGAATTAATCCCAGTTCAGGTTGCTGTACCATTCACCTGTCCTTCCTTTCTGATTATGGTTTTTCTACCAAGCACTTAGTTTGAGGATTATTCCTGTAATACAGTGAAACTTTGATAAAGTAGACACTCTGAGAACCAAGAAAATTGTCCTAAAATAAGAGGTCTGCATAGACAAAGGATGTGCAATTGATAAACATAATGCCATAACTGAATTAATGATAGTGAAACAAGTACCTACATTCATTAGGAAATATATTCATATTTATTTTGACTTAATAAAATCTTTGTTTGAAATATATAAAAAATTCTTAAATTAAATATATGTACTGCTTGCACATCTTGTATGTTATGCTTTTCTATCAGTAAGTCAGGATAGAGAAAAAAGAACTAAGAGAAGTTAGTTTTAAAAAAAAAAAAGAACTAAGAGAAGTTTGTTACATGGCCTCATTAAGTTCTCCTAAAAAGATATTTGCTACAATGGGGAATACAATCATACATGTAGAACTCGCAATAATGCAATCAATGATTTCTTAACAGTCATAAAGAAAGGTTAGTTTTGCAATTTTCTTCTTTCCACCTCCTCTGCCAAAATTTGACACTCTCTATATTCCATTATTTCGTTCATAAAAATGCTTATACTTGTGTGGAATTTGTTAAAAAAATTATTTAAAAAAAATTTGGAATGCCAACATTAAATAAATTTAAGTTTTTTTCGATGCGTATTTCTGTTACTTGATGTTTTTCTTTATACGAAACAGTAGACTCTTATTGATAGAACTTTAATTTCATTGTTTATAAAGTTGATTGTAAATTTATTTTCATCTAGATCTAATGAAATCTAAAGAAAGATTTAAAATATAATTTATTTTGTCTTTCTAGTGTTCTGTTAGTTGTGGAAATGGTATTAAACGTCGCCAAGTAGTTTGCTATAACGATGATGAATTTAAAGGTTCTGATTGTGATTCAAACCGTAAACCCTCTGAAACATTTGAATGTAACGCTGGTCCTTGTCCAGATTGGGCTACAGGCGAGTGGTCTGAGGTAAAAAAAAATTTATCTTAGTTATTTTAAGGAGTTTTAAGTTTTGATACTTAGAAAGTAACTAAATATTTACCTTGAAAAATACTTAATCTAACTTATAATTAATTTTAACCTTTTTTTACTCTGGATAATTTGCTTGGTGCAAGCAGTGGCCCCCATTCCCCACAAGCTCTTGAGCGCATTCACCCCCCCCCCAAAAAAAAGAAAAACTTCCCCCTTCCTCCTCCCCCAAAAAACTTCCCCCTTCCATGTTAGTTTGTTTGAAATAGTGCTATATTGCTTCTTTTATTTATGTGCTTAAAAAAATTCTCTCGTCTAAACTCCCCCCAAATTATTCGTTTTATTTAGTGTAAAAATTCCCCCCCCAAGCTGTAAGTGGGTGCATCGTGCGTCCATTCTCCCCCCTGATGGGGGCCCCTGGGTGCAAGTCTAAGTTTTGAAAGTAAAGAGCAAATCTTTATCTATTTTTACTAAAGTAAGTTTACTATATGTTTTTAACATCTATGCAATGTTAAAAACAGGTGTAAATGATTTTTGTCAGTAATGAATAATGTAATACATTAAATGCTTATAAATATTGATCTAAGAATAAGTTTCAGGTTATAGTAAAGTATTTTTAAATTTTTTTTAATATAGTACAATAGGCTTAACTAAAGTTATACAATTTTACAATTGTGTTTTTTTCAGCTGAAATGGTTCTTAAATCTCTGAAAAAATATTTGAACATAAATAAATTACCATGGTGTATTTTTAAGTAAGGGCTGCTCCAAAATTAAAACCAAACAAAAGAAAATTTTCAAGAAGCAAATTTATTTTCAGATTCTAAATACTTTTTTTTATATGTTGACATAATTTCCGAGTTTTTTTATTTGTTAGTTAGCTTGGATTTACCCAAATCTGGATGTGAACAAGGTAATATCATACTGGATAACTCAAAGTTTGTAATTAGTAAGATTGAATTTTAATTATAAACTTGTAAAACTTATATATAAGGTTGATTTTTAATTAGAAAAACCTTATTATTACCTTACGCACATCCACATAATAATTTAAAAAAAATTTTTTTTTTCCTTTAAGAAATCTTTATACCGTTTTACTTGTTTTCTCTATATTTTTAACTTATTTTATGAGTTCTATGTACTTGCAGCTTATGCGCAGTAAATAAAATTTATTATTTTCTTAATTTTCTTCTTTAATCTCTCTTTTATTTTTTTATCTTTTAGTCTATATTACAATTATCCATTTTCAGGCAAAACCTCGATAACTAACAAATCAAACGCGCTTCAGTACTGTACTAACANTAATCAGGTTGTACTATAAAAAAGAAAAATTGTGTTAATTAAATTTAAGATTTTGCAAATAAAGAAATAATTGCAAAGTATCAGGTGCTACTGATTTGAAATCCATTCTTTCATACACAATGAAAAGAATAAATTTGTTTCCTTATTTATCTCAGCTGTTCAAGCTTGTTCAATTCAATTTGTAGTTCATTCAATCTGAAACTTGCATTTATGATAAGCTTTTTTAATAGAAAATAAATTTTCAGTCACAATTGTGTTATTTCTTGAAAAATTTAACTGTACAAAGTACAAACAAAGGAAATAATTCAGTATGAAAGTCTGCTTATCTGACTATTAAACTATTTCATGCATATTACATTTTTAAATATGCCTGAAGGGTTGTAATTAAGCTGAAACACAACAACTCCTTATACATTTGCAATGTTTGACAATGTGATTGTCATATTTGATCTTTTAACATTCCAAATTCAGAGGATATGATATTTATTTTTTAAGTTTATAATATTATAAAGCTTTTTTTTAAAATAAAATTAAATAAATCATTAATCATGATTTCTTAAACAATTTACACTTGCAAAAGTTCAAGAAAATTTTGAAGTGCTATATTTTTCATCAACCAAATAGTAACAGAAAAATTTGTATTTAAGATAAAATTTTAACCCTGAGATTAATAAAAAATTGTATAAAGGAAGCTGAGGAATAGCTATGAAATCAAAAATTAAATTATTAAATAAGAACTAAGATTTATAGTAATAAATAAGGAGAATTTCAAATTATCATATTGAAAGAATTTCAAATTATCAAAAGTTTGAATTACCCATGTACAAACTACTTATCCATATTTAAACTAAAGGAAATGTGGATTTGAAATGCATATTTAATTTAAAAGTCCATATTTAAAATATTATATATAAATTTAGCTGAATAAATTACTGAAGTTGTTAATTAAGTATGTTGCTTATTTTAGTGCAATGCAACTTGTGGAGAAGGTCTACAAACTAGATCTGTTTTGTGTTTTGATGATAATGGGCAAAAAATTGATAATAATTCTTGTAACATTCTAAAAAAGCCTGTAGAGCAACAAAGTTGCATTAAAATAAAGTGTGAAGATGTAGAAATCAATTACAAATGGATAACAGGACCCTGGTCACAGGTAATGAAAATTTCGTTATTTCTTTAAAAACTAATGTAATATTCTGCTAATTTTTTCGGATAGTTGATTTAGACTATAACAATGAAATAACATAGGATAAAATTTATGTTTCTTGAAGAATTGCTTGTTGCTATTCAAGAAGTTTTGATAAGATATGCATAAAATCCCATCTTTAATACCGATTCTTATTTTTTTTAAATATTATATGGGGAATTTTCAAACTTTTATGTATAAAATCTTTTATAATGTATTTTAATTTTTCAAAAAACATTTAAATATAGTTCTTAATAGGTTGGTTGCAATCATGCAGTAATGTTTATTTTAAAACGTTTACTTTGAAATCTTTCTTGTATCAGTATAGTATTTGAGCTTAATGAATTTCTCTAAATCAGTAAATATATGGAACTAATAATGATATAGAGAAACCTTGACAATCTAATTTAAGTGGGACAATTCTGTTGAAATTTGACATTTACCAATAGTGGCATATGACCTAGCCAGATTTGAGAAAGTTTCAAGTATTTAAATTGAAACATATTTTTCAATCATTTTTTTTAATATTAGTTTATCACATGACTTACCCTTTGTTTCTTGAAAATATTTTGTTCCCGGGGGCATAAGAGATTACTTCCTTCACAATCAAAATCAATAACCTTATGGCAGTAAAATTCCTCACAATCAAACTCAAAGACAGCAGTGCACAGAGAGGACATCTTTATCGACCAGATCATTGAGGTCCGTTCTTAGAAAGATGGGTAAGTATTCCAGGGAACAAAAATGAAAATATGATAGACTTATTCATAAGCTTAACATGCGGTTTACATCCATGCTAATAGATTAAAAAAATATACTTACTTATTCAAAGGTCTATGTAGAATGCAAGATCAAGGGAAGAAAAGATATTATATTCTTTTTCTTCAGCATCCGCTACAACTTGTCTCATGTCAGTTCAAGTAAATTGGACACAGTACATTCTGAAGCACAAACACAATCCAATCACACGACCAACATTCTGGAATACATTCATTCTTTCTGCAGAACACTTTTCCTTACAGCTTGTATTGAACAACTGATTATTTTTGAATTTATCACTATTTGTATTAAGCTCTGTAGTCATGAAATTTTGGACCAAACCCAGAAAACAAAGATCCCGGATCGAGCATTGGTATAAACTATGGGTCTTTTTGATAGAATTAACCAGCATTAAGAGGAAAACTACAAAACCTCCCATTGTTAGCTAGACTAAGAGGATTTTAACTCAAGCCAGTCGGAACCATTAGCCCTGAAGCAGAAAGTACTCAGAACTGAAATATACATTGCAGAACAAGCATAGTACTTGCAGAACAGCCTATGTTTGGGGATAAACTATTTATGTCTATATCCCTGCTGAACAGTTTATGTTCAAATTGAAGTGAAACTTATATTGCGGTCAATTTGTTTCAAAGTTTTTTTTCCCTTATTAGATGTGTGACGTGTGTTATGTTACAATTTTTTCTGATGTTCTATCATAACTCTATAAAAACAAAATTTTTCAGTCAACATATTAGAAAAAATATCCTTTTTCTTAAATTTTTGTAAAACATTTTTTTGATTATTAAATTTTAGAAAAATATGTATTTAAGTAAATTTTTAAAAAAATGCAAATGATAAGATATGCCATATTGAAATACCTAAAAAAAACTATAATAGTTGTCTAATTTTATTGCAATTAGTCTAAAAATTTCAAGTTATTTTTATTGCTCCTGATATTAATAATGAATGGGGATTTTTTTTCACCATTTTTTAAAGATATTTTGCTGTCAAATGAAACCCTATTATCAAAAAATTATTAAGAGCACTCTTTCTTTTCCATCTTTGATTTTTAAGTTATATTTATTTTATTTTTTTAATTTGTTTTATTTTGAACAAATATATGAAAATTTGCAATTGATAATTCAATTGTTTATGATGCTGTTAATTTGATTAACAGTTAGATTATTTTACCTTATTATTCAAATATCTATCACTAAATTGCTAAGATTTTAAGTAAATTTGACTTTAAAGTTTTCTCCCCTTTAAACAAACTTAATTTCTCAAACATTAAAGACCCTATTATTGATATTAATAGCTGGGATATTTATAAACTTTTATGTCAATGTTGTCTTGCATATCTTGGACAAACTAAACATACGCATATTTGGCTTAAGAAATGCAAAAGATAAGTCCAAAATCAGGATATTATCCACTCTCCTATTGTCCAACATAGTTGGAATTCTAATCACATATTTAAGTTTTTTTCTGCTAAAATCATTCAATATTGCTTTTCATCTACCGAACTTGATTTCTGGAAATCATTCCATATTTTGAAAATTTTTAATAATTTAGTTAATGATCTTTCTAGTATCCCATAATATCCTGATCTTTGGGAAATCTATTCTGATTTAATCTTTTGCTCCCTGGAGTTTCTGCCAAATCCCCTCAAACCTAATTCTTTTCTATTTTTATTATCTTGTTCAATCTCGTATCTTTCTTCTTGTTAATTAAACCACTTTGCGCATGTTTCTTTTTATTTCTCTACAATTATTTGGTGTTTAGACACTGAGGAAGACTTGAGTATGCCCATTTTTCGTTCATTTGTGCTTTATTCGCATTTTTTTTAAAACTTTAATCTACATAGCATGCCTATCCATTTTAGAGATTTGATTATTATGTTTTATTACAATTCCTTTCAAGGAAAGACTGTTTTAGTAGATTAAGAGACATGGAATTTGATATAGCTCTGAAGAAAAAACTTATTGCTTCAACCTTTTGTGGATTTTTATTATGCTTTTAATAAAAAAAAATATGTTTATATAAATTTTAATAATTTATTGTAAAATGTACCTGGCATTTTTTTGAAGTGTTCAGTAAGCTGTGGAAAAGGAATTCAACACCGAAGTACTGTCTGCTTAAATTTACTTGGGCATGAGGAAAGTCCGGATAAATGCCCACATCCTGAGCCTTCACAGACCCAGGAATGCATGGAAGCTGTTTGTTCAAAGTGGCAGTGGTCTGAGTGGACTCAAGTATGAGCATGCTTTTTATAAATGTATTCATAATTGATTTAAAAGAATATTTTAAACAAAATTAGAGCAATTATAATCAGCCGTGATTAGAGCAATTATAATCGGCCACTGAAACATTGTTATTAGTTGACGTAATTTTCTAGTTATAATATTTAAGATTCCTAAGTTCAGTAAAAAAGGTGTTAGAATAGATATGTATGTCTGGTATTACTTATTAAAATGATGTGTTGTAAATACAAAACAATTTAGTTCTTTCATTTTTTTAATCATGTTAATCTTAATTTTAAAATATATTTCAAAGTTATTTTGAAGATATATTTTCATGTGAAAAAATGTTGAATCAATTTCTTATATAGAACATTTTTTGATTTTAAAACTGTAGAAAAGCTCAAGTAATTGTTTATTTTGTTTTGTTTACTTATTTATTCTAACTTAAATTTAATGCAATGAATTATCTTTAGAATAGCAGTAACTTTTTAAAAAACATGCAATCCCTATAAAACTCTTAATTCATTCTTTCAAAAAAAAATATTTTAGACTAAAAGAAGGAAAAAGAAATTAATATATTCTAGTTGATTTTATTAACTTAATTTTAATTGTGTTAAGTTTTAAGAGTATTGAAATAAAGCATATGCATTTATTTAGTTCTACATTTCAGAAATAGGAATAAAATTTTATAAATAGTACATATAAAAATAATTTTCTGCCATAGTAAAATATCTATTTAATCAAAAAATAAAATTTAGAGAAAACATATCAACATTAGTATATATTTAATAAATAATAAAAAATCTGCAGTAGAATCTCTTTTTTTTTTTTGTATAATTTTTTTTAATTCTTTAGCTTTAGTGAAACAAAAACGTCCAGTTTAAATTTTATCTGTTTAATGATATTCGCTGAAATTAGGTGGCTAAATTAAATTATGTTAAAGTATAAATACATAGACTGTGGTGATGATGATGATGGACAGATATATTTCAATGGACTAGATTTTTGAAAGTTTTGATTCATTTTCGACTATATGGAATGCTTAGCCTAAGATTTTTCACTGATTTTAATAAAATTTTTTTCTTTAAAAATGTATAATGCATACATTTTACTATTCTAGAATTATTTTAAAATTATTAAATACATAACATTATTTGAATATTTACTTAAAAAAGAAAATCCTTCAACTCTAGTATTTTTTTAAAGGGCAAAATTAAATTACGCAACTTAAATTTTTGAGCATTAGCACATCGATATTAACGATGATGGATAGATATTTTTTTCATTTGGCTAGACTGATTTGTTGAAAACACTGATTTGTTTTAATGCAATAAAATCATCCACCCTTTATGTATGTACTATTTTGTATATAGAGATTACCTATCCTATCTGCCACCAATTTTAATTAAGTAATTAGGTTGTAATGGAGCATTATTTTAACTTCTCATTTAGTTTTATGTATATAATAGTTTTTGGTGTTAAAGTTTATGGAATATAATAAAATAATATTCTATGAACTTTAACACCACTGATTTTAGTCAAAAAGAAATGCTGATTCGCTGTGAAGGACTACATAATCATTTCTACAGCTATTTTAGTGATAAATAAGCAGTTTGAAGTTAATTTTTCTTACATTTTGCAAAATTTTTCTTACATTTTGCACACACTCTCAAAATTGTAAATTTAATTTACAAAATTTTTACTAATAATATACATAGAATGTTCATACAACATAAGTGGTATCAAAACTAAAGGAGCACTGAAATAGCCTTAGCAGATGGAGGCGGCACGTTTCCCTTCAGCACATCTGAAGTCATAACGAATCAGGGATCAATTTTGACTGCCTGACTTACAGAGGCCTTTTTGGGCATCATAAATGTTTAATAATTAAATAAACATATGGAGAAAAAATAAACAGATTTTCGAATTCAGGAGAGAAATTCCAATAAGTTAGTTCTAATAAAATAAAAAAAATTTAAGAGATGCTGTAATAATCCATTATAAGTTATGTGAATTAAGTGTTATATTATCCTATTTTTATGAAAAAGCTTTAAATAGTTGTATTCAATAATTAAAATATATTCAGAGATAGCTTATTTCCAGATTATAAAATTCCATACTATATTGATTTTTTTTAAAATTATTTAATGATTTTTATGAAACATGTATTCACTTCATACAAATCTTTTTACAACAGAGAAAATGTTACCAATGTTCAAAGTCATGATCATACATTTGATTTTCTTTCTTTCCAGTGCCCTAATAATTGTGAATTTCATGAGCAGTATAGGCAGGCATACTGCGCTAGGGGTGAAAGAATGGTAGATGATAATAATTGTTTTGAGCCCAAACCAGAAACTGATAAAAGGCAGTGCAAAATTTCTCCAGAATGTTCTTTTAAGTGGAGAAAAGGAGTATGGTCTCAGGTAATTAATTCTATAATTTTTATGCACTCCATATTTCAATGATCAGAAAATTATTATCTTTACTTGCTTTGGTATCCAGTCAAAGAAAGAGTGAACTTTGTACTTTTGAATAAAACTAAAAGCACTAACAATACCACATAAGCATTTTGTAGTTTTGGTCCTGTAATGAAGAGCATTTATTTGTATTCAAACACGAAGTAAAAGAAGGAAACAGTAGAAATCACAAGACAATTTACAAAAGTGTCAACCAAAAGGAACGTAAGAAATGTAGACAAAATAATCGAACAAAAAAGGGACTAAGAAACGTGTTAAACAGGGAAGTGTTTTTCTTTTAATTTCTACATCTTGCAACACCTAATGTTCTCACCCTTCCTCATCACACCTGTTTCTAATCTTCCTTTTTTTTTTGTTTATCTTGATCTAGCTTGTTCCTCTCCCCTATATATCTCCCCAACCTTGTTGTAACTCACTCACTCTTGTAATTTGTTCTCTGCTTCCTTCTTTCATTTTGTATTAGAACACTGATGGATAATCTAAATTTAAGAACCAAAACTATTCTATGTTTGTTACTCAGGTTATTTCATGTTATTTATCTTTATTCATATACTTTAATGTGTTTTTTGTATATATTTTTACTTGTAACGACATTAAGTATATTTTTCTTTCTAATTTAATTACAAAACCTTAATAGAAAATGCAATATTGAGAAGATGGTGTTTAATGTATTGTAGTGACAGGTTGCATTTATCAGAAAATTTGACATAACCTTAGTAAGATAGATATGCTTTCTTTTTTGTCAACTACTTGTCAGTATGCTTAAACTTATTTTCTTCATATTCAATAGCATTATCCTTTTATCAGAAGTTAAATTATAATCTTTTGGATCTACATTGCCTATAATGGTTGCATGCAAGGCTTTACAAGGGCCTAGAATGAAATTTATTGTCAGCCCCTTCTTTAAAACACAAAGAGCCGCGTTTTCATATTTTGTAGAATCTTTAAAGACCTTTTATTCAAAACTAACTTTTATATAGATATGAAGGAATTATTGACAATTTTCTTTTAAAAAACTAATTAAAATACAATAATAATGAACATTACATCTTTTGTAGGGAATTTTAACCAGACTCTCAAAAGTCCTTGTCTTTCCATTCCCTTTAGTATTAGCTTGACAACATATTGAGACAAAACATATTTTAGCTCAAGAATTTTTCATTTTAAGTTATGGAATTTGGTTTTTCGATAAATTTTGCTAAAGAATCTTAAAGCGTAATCTTATGTACAGATTGAATTATCCTCAAAAATGTGCACTAAATCTTAATCCTGGTATACAACTGTTTATTTTCTGATAAAAGCTATTAATTTTAACACATTTTAATACCTAAAATTTATTTGCAGTGTCATGCTTCTTGTGGTTTAACATTTAAAAATAGAGAAGTTGTTTGTGTTGATCATGACAATAATCGTGTTCCTGAGGAATTCTGTTCTTCGCAAGATAAACCAAAGAAAAGAAGAAAATGCAAGTTAAGACCTTGTCCATATTCTTGGATAACAGGACAATGGTCTGAAGTAAGATTTTCTTTTAAAATAATAAATTAAATCCTTTAATACTTGAGAGCAGTGTCCTTATGTAGGATCTTAAAATACTCTTTTCTCATAAATCTGTTTTTAAAATGTTCTAGTGTTCTTGAAAAGAGAGCTTATTATTGCTTTCTAATTTGTTTTACAACAAACTTTTAGGTTAATGGAATGTTTTTGTTTCGAACGTCTTGAAAAAAGATAGTTATTTCCTGCTGTGACATGGTTGATAATGTTAAGAATTTAAGTTCTTAAAACTTTTTTGCACTACCTCTAATTTTAACCTCTAAAACCTTCAACTCTGAAATTCATCGTCATCTAAAATTTTTTTATATTAGATTGTGCGGTGCGCAAAAAAATAATGTGAATGCCTTTAATAATGTATGATTTAATGATTGGATTTTAATGAATTTAGACTCAATTTTTTAATGGTTTGAAACTGACAATAAATATACCAAATAAAAAAAAAGCATAAATATGCTTCGAAGATTTCTAACATGATCCAATAGGTGGACTCTTGTTTTTATAAATAACTCGTATGAATTCTTCTTCTCTTTATTAAAATTTTTTAATATTTTAGGAAAGGAATGCAAGGAAATATGTACAGTGCGCAAAATAAAAAGTTAACCCTCTAACTTTTGATCTAATGATTGCATTTTCCTCTACTTGGACTCAATTTAAATTTTTAAGAGCATAACTTTAAATATATAAATTAATTAACATAGGCAATAATTTAAGTTACAAAATCAGACACAAAAATATACTTTATCTGAATAAGCATACCGTTTTCAAATGCATTTGAATTCCTCTCTTTCGAAATATGGAGGGGTAGCCGCAATTTGGAAAATATGGTTCCGAGAGTGTGGGTAGAAGAGCAGTTGAAAGTTTAAGCTCTTCTCTCTATGATGATGATTTTGCATTTTGATAATTTTGCTATATCTTGAACTTTTTAAGCACTCAACAAAAATGTATTATTCGAAGATAAATCAACATAATTTTATAATAATTAGATTATTATTTTATTGAATAATAGTCAAAAGTTTTGAATTGTAAGGTATACAAGTTTTTACATTGCATTAAAGTATTTAGTTTTAAATGCAAAGTTTGAATGATTGATCAAATGGTTGTGTTATAGTAGGTGAAAATTCAATTATAATTTTAAAAGTTATTAACAGTGTCCACTTTTTTTTGCATACTGTGTATATAGACGACAAAGTGGTGATGCAAGTTCCTAGTTAGGAATTCATGGCAGTGATTTTTTTAAAACAGTTCTATTGCTTAAACTTATTGTTAAACTGAATATTTTGCTATACATTTCAACCACTTTAATTAAAGCTTCAATGTAAGCTTTAAATAAAAGTTAATTTATTTAAAGATTACACATTTGCGAAGGATTTAAGAGTTTGAAATATATATATTTCAAACTCTGCTATCAAACACAATACAGGCTATTTATAAAAGTATCATTACTGGCTATAAATATAATATTTTAGTCCTTATAAAAATCTTTCTTTGCTTTAGTGTTCGAAATCTTGTGATGAGGGCTACAAAACACGTAAAGTTGCATGTCATGCTGTGAATGCCTATGGTTGGCTTGAGTCAGAAGAAATGGACGAAATGAAATCAAGACGCTTCTGTGGTTCTTTAAGAAAACCTAAAAGTTTTGAAAAATGTAACTTTGGAAATTGCTCAAGTGGGTTTATATGGAAACCTGAAGAATGGAAACAAGTAAACTTTATTATAGATTTTTTATTGATTACTACTTTGTGATTACTATAATTTTCAATTGCAATACAAATCTGCTAATAAATTATGTAAGGGCATATTCTTCAACTACTGCGGAATTTCCATAGTTATGGAAAATCATTTTTTCTGGTGATAAAAGGGTAATATATTGATATTTTAATGAGTTAAAATAAAAAGAGTTGCAGATCTCCACTTATAAATAATTTAAACAGATGTATTAAATGTCATAATAAGAGTTAGTTATGTTTAAAAGACTTGATAAAAGTAAAACGATTTTATTTTGTTTCAAAAATTTTAGTTTTTGTTCACAACTAGTGATAATATATTTTGCATGAAACTCAAGTATTGGAAGATATATAATAAGATTGCAATAGAATTATGAATTATAAAAAATAAATTTCTAAAAAATTATAAGGATCTATTAATAATTGTAAATGTTGAAGAGTTTGATTAAGATATTTTGATTCTAGTAGTTTTCTAATTACATATAACAGTTAGTAGTACATATAACATTGATGCAACCTTACTGAACTATTTTATAATGATTGTGCATTATAATGGTATACCATTATAATAAATAGTGTACCATTTTTACTCTTTAACCTTCAAACTTTTTTCTCTTTTAGTGTGAAGGTCATTGTGGAGATGCTAAAGAAAAAAGAAAATTAAGGTGCTTTGATTTACAAGGCAAAAGAGTGCCGAATTATAAATGTGATGCTGCCCTTAAGCCTAAAAAGAAAAGACGTTGTTCTCTTCCAAAATGTAAGTCATTATAATTTAACCTTTTTTTGTGTTTTAAAAGTTTTACCTCTGAAAAATCTGAAATAAAAGGTTAATGGTTACTCTGAATTAAGGGTTTGCAATGCATGGTTTGCAGGTCTCTAGTGGTCTGCCAAGCTATCTCATTTAGCTAAAAATAAGTACTTAATGAAAAAAATGTAACTACTGTAAAATGGCAGTTATTTCAGATAACTAAACATTTAAAGATTGTGACTTATTAAAAAAAATCAAGTCATTTGACTGCTAAGCAAGGAAGAATCTGACTCGAAGCTAATATAAAGCAAATGTCTTGAAATTTTTACATTAAATGATTTTTATTTTAAATTTATGTCCCAAAAAGGGGATAGGAAAATGAATAGGCATGCCTTGGCCTCTGACCTTGGCAGTACTTATTATTATTCAGTGTCAGCCTTATGTAGTAGTGATTTGCTAGATTTAATAGCATTTTGTTTTATACTCTCTTAAATATTAATTGTTAACTTGTATCTTAAATATTATTTACTGAACTTTTTGACTTCATTTTTGGCAAGATTCTAGGAAATATTTATTAAGAACTGTTACCCTGCATAAGTATAACCATATTTAATCTGTCTCAGAAAGTAAAAATGTAAGAAATAATTTAGTTCTAATTTAAGGTTTTACAATCGACAAACAGGTTAAAAATTTAACATTTCAGCAACATATTTTATAATTAAGTGTAAAGTTTCCTCCAGTAAATGAGTTTTTGCTATATCTTGTAAATGTTTAGTCATCGTGATTTCCCCAATTTGTTAACATGGCTCTCAGGAAAAAGAGATTGAAAACTCTCTACTGCAAAGGGAACTTTTTATAATTCAAGTGTTAGAGTTTAATGTTAAAAGTAAAATTTTATTTACATTTCTGTAAATTTAATATATGTTCAGTGAAAACTAGCACTGTTATTTACGTAGACCAAAACTAAATAGATATCTGAGTTAAATAAGCAAGTTGTATTTTTACACGCAGTTATCTAAATTTATTTTAAAGTAATTATTCTTCAGAAAATATTTAAGCTATTCATATATATATTATCATTTCATTTGTATTAATGTTCAATTAATGAGTACCAATTAATAAATAACAATTAATGTAAAAATAACATGTCTTATATATAGGTACACCAAAAAGTTGTCGAGATATTTATCACTTACAAAGGAAAACAAGTGATGGAAATTATGAAATACATATAAAAGGAAAACCAGTTACATTGTACTGTCATGCTATGAGTACAGGAAATCCTCAAGAATATATTGCTCTTAAGGATCATAATTATGCTGTTATTTATTCTACAGAGCTTGGAAATAAGTAAGTTTTATAATATTATGCTGATTAATATTTTATATATGGTGTAATATGAATTATATTAAAATTTTGAGCTTTCTATATTGTTTTTTTTTCGGAAATTTTAGTACATTTTATGTGAAAATAATCATAATAAAAATAAAATGTTAATTAATGTATAATACATTATAATTTTTATTTTAATTTAACCTCTTTAGGCAATGAGTCATTTTTCTATTTGTCTATGAGTAATTCTATTTATTTTGGTTTAACATAAAAAAAATTCAAATAACTTCAATTTAAAAGAATATCTGAATAAAGTATCATGGATTGAAAAGTTTTGGGAGTGAAGATATTCTGAGTTATCAAAACTTCGGTTGATGGGAAATTTAATTACTCAATTTTCAAAGTCCTAAGTTGTGGTCATTTTTTATTATACTAAAAACTTTCAAGATGAATTATGTAAATATTTTTTGGGTTATTGAAAAACTACATTTTGAAGAATAGATAAAGTATTTAATTATGTTTAGATTTTTAGTCTAGATTTAAAATTGCCTTGAGTTATCCAAAAATTAAGTTAGTGATATTTATATTATAGAAGTTTGGCTGCATGAGCTTATTATAATGTGCCTTTGAAGTTAAATCTGTTAAACTCTGGTTTGTCTATCCATAAACAAATATCCAATATTTCATTGAAAATTAATATGTAGTGTTTAATAAAGAGTAGTGTCTAAAAAAAAGGGCTAAGACTGAACTGCATCAGGATAAATATTAATTCCAATGATTATTCATAAAAAAAATCTACTTTATAATCATAGCTCATTTGCTTTCTCCTTAAGAAAATTTTTTAAAGCATTAAATAAAACAATTACTTTTAGCAATTAAATTTATTATTCATATTTATATTCTGAAGTGTATCTTCAAAACAGAAATCAGTTGTTTGTATTGATATGGTCTCACTGATAATTTTACTGCCAAAAAAGAATGAATTTCCTTAAAATGAATCATTTTTTAAAAAAGATTAAATAGAAATCCTAATTTACTTGAAATACTAAAACTTAATTAAGTTGTAATCTTTTTTAGTTATCTTAGCTTTTTTTTATTTGATTTTAAAGTTAAATTTTTGATGCATTTAAAATTATTGATATTGCTTTTGTAAGGTTAAACTTAAGCTAACAGCTTAGCACTAGCTTGGACGAGACACCTCTTAAAAAAAGCGCTGTTTAGTTTTAAATGGCAAAAATAATTTTTTAATTGTTAGTTTAACTTCTTATAAACTAAGTTGGGTGGCTTTCCTACAAAAAAAAACGTTCTAGATCAGTCAGCAGAAGTGTAATGCAAATCAATGGAGATAAGTGCTATTTCAAGTTAAATTTGCATACAATTTTATCCAAAATTGTAATGCTTTATTATTTTATAAATGTACTATAGGAAACATCTGCTCAATTAACATCACCTGAAATCTTTGGTCATTTTCTTTATTTTATATATACATTAATATTGTGAATAAATGAACAAATTAGTGAATCAGCTAATTAAAGAACAAACAAATTAAGGAATAAGCAAATAAATGAATCCATATGTCAGTGAATCAGGAAATAAATCTATGTTAGAATTAATTAGTATATCAACAAAGTTATGGGCAAAATAATGAGAGAATCAAGTTGTTAGTGAATCAATGAAAATGAAGAAAAACTGCTTTATATTGATTTAATGCTTGGGATAAAATAATAAATAATTTAAATTTGCAAAATTTATTGTAAATAAGCTATTTCTTTTTAGCTTCAGGTCAGACACTTCTGAAAGTTGTTTTTCTAATGATGTGCTTCATGGTTGTGACTGCAATAGGAATGATTTTGGTTATACCATTTTTTATAAAATAGCTTTAAACATCACAGCACTTCAAATAATATGTAAGTATTATTTAAAGTTTTTGTATTTTTTTGAGAAAATATTGCCTTTGAAAATATCTAACTTAAAGGAAAATTTAGATTTTGAAAAAATAATCAGTAATTACATCCTAATTGGCCATTATATTTAAATAACTAATTTATAAATGCTTTTTTTATCAAAGGTTAAATCATAATCTAATGTAAACTACAAAAATATGCCTTAAATGATATTTATTTATTTCAAAAAAGAGAACACTTGTAAAAATTCCAAAACATTTCAAACTCATATCTAGTTTAAATTATAACTAGAATACTCTTAAGTGTTTCTAAGTGAAAACCAGTTTCCATTGAATCTCAAAGTAAAAATTGATCATTATAATCATATTTTTATAAGCCTGAAATTTTCTAGCTGAACTCATTTTAACTGATCTTTTACATTTATAAAAATTTCACTAATAAAGTAGAAGTCATGCATAGCAACTGAAATCTAAATTAAAAAGAATATTAGTACCTTTATTTTTTGTAATCAAAATGACCTTAGTCTCCCATGAAGAAATCACTTTGGATTTTATGATATTAAGAAAAAAGTAAAATATAATTGGTTGCATAATGTATAAATGTGCAAGAGTAGAACTTAACTTAAAAATGTATACATAATATTTTGATAAACACTGGAAAAGAAATATAACCCATAACCGAAAAGTATACACATTAAAATGTGAACTAGTAATTCACTTGTTAAATCAAGAAGTTGAACCCAATTATAATAAGGCAAAAGATGATTTAGGAAATGTTTAAAAGTGTCTTACTGTTTGTTCTTTACATGGAAGATGGAAAAAAACTAATTTTTGTGGGGTTTTTTTCTGTCATAGTGAAACAAAACACATGACATAGCCATACATTACCAATAACACCTTTTGATTCCAGAAAAGATTTCAATTTCTCTGTGAAAGGTGTTGGTGGTTCAGTTGTACTGATAAAATAAATGCAACAATAAATGTGAAAAATAGATCACAAATAATCTACAAGTGTTCAGACAGAAACATGCACCCAGGTGGTGGAATCTATTCAATAGTTTACAGAGGGAAATATTCTCTTTATCATTACAATAACCATCTTAAATATCATATACATTACAGTGTCCTAAACTGGTTGAGCTACTGATTACAAGACAGATAAAGAACCTCACACTTTAACTCCTTATTACTTATCTACTTACTATTATTGAACAATTTAAAATAAATGTAGTCTTACAACCCTTTTGAAAGGAAAGAAATTTCCAGAAACTGTCAGGTGCTTTTTTTCTGAGAGCTTTATACCCGTATGCAACTGAAACTCTCTTCTTCAATTTTATTTCTAGCAACCGGTTTGATTGCTGTTCGAAAGTGACCACCAGTTTCCTAACTGTAGCATTAAATCACTCTCGAAGTAAAAAAGCTGTCCATCAAAGAAACTTATCTTTTTCGACAGGTCATGACGTGTGCTGTATTTGTCCTCGATGTGTGTTGTATTGCCAGTGAAAAAATTCATATGTGTTTTCTCAACTATAAGCTAGAAGAGATTTTTTAAAGTGACTTTTGAATTGTCATCTGCTCACCTAGTTTGGATCTTATCATAGATTTGTGTGTCCTGTAATCTTTTGAAATATTACTTAAACTCTTTAAAAGCATTACAACCATTAACAGCATTTTTTAAAAAAATGTTTTTCAAAATAGAATTAATAAAGTTTGTTTGAAAAATTTTGGGTGCAATGATGAAGGTTTTTATTTTTAAAATATGATAAAAGTACTTTTTACATTCGTCTTAGGTAATAATTTGTAATTTTCAATCATTTTTTACAAATTCAAAATATTTATGCTTACTAAAACACATATATCTAATCAGATCAGAAAATGTTAGTCTGTATCAAGAACTGTAAAGACATAATATAATTGAAATTACCATGTAAAAATTGATAATTAATCAAATATTAGCAATCGGTTTTTATCAGTGATAAATAACAAATTTGAATTAAAAGTGGCTATTCATCAAGATGGAATCATAGTTTTGGATTTCAATCCCAAAATTACTTTATAAATGCAAATAGGTAATTTGTAATATTTGCATCTCTTAATTAAACTTAGTATGCCATTGTAGAATCAGCATATTATTTACATAAAATTATCTAGGATAAATAAAATAAAATATCTTTTAATCATAAAATTATCTTTTTATATTCCCTATCTCTCTGATTTCTCTTCACCACCACCATTAAACGGAGGGTTTTTGCTTTGTGATTGATCAGAAATAGTTTTATCAAACTTAGCTTTCAAAGTCAAGTTAACCTGCTGCCATCTGTGAAAAACACTTGAATTGTTTAAGTTGAATCAGAAAACTGAAATGTTTTGTGAAAAAATTAAGCAAAAATCACTAGTTTGAATAAATTTTGTTTCAGTTGCATGAGGCTGTTAATAAAGCAATTTTCATGAAATCTGTGACACAGTTTTCTTTAGATCAAGTTATGCTTATAGCATCATAGTTTTTTCTTTCTATGTTTTTTAATATTAAAACCATCTTTGAAAAATTCTATTCAATATAACCCGGATCCTTATAAACTAGAGTTTTACTATATATTTTTAAATTTATTTGAAAATACAATATTTAGCACAATTGGTTTCAGAATTTTACTTGAAAGGGTGTTCAAATCCAATATCAGATCCCTTTGTATATTGCTTCTCATTTATAACTAATACTCAAGATAAAACTTTGAATTCCAACAAATTGATGGCATTTCTAGTTCGATTTTTCAAAAAATTTAAAACCATGTAAAGTATTTTTTTTATGAATGCTATTTATTCAATTGTTTTGAATAAATTTTTCAATATATCAAATAAGGTATTTTGAACATAAATTGTTTAATTAGATGTTTAATCTAACATCACTGTCAGTGGTGAATCACAGTTGTTAATCATTTAAAATTATTATTTAATTATTGATGACTTCAGTTTTTAGTTATTGATGACCAAATGTACTGTTTTATTTCAGCTGATGATTACACATTTAGTACTACATATTATGGTCGACCTGTGCCATATGGAACTGCTGGTGACTGTTTAAGGAAACCAAAATGTCCTCAAGGGATATTTTTTATTTCTTTGCAAGGTACAGATTTTAGGATAGCTCGACAGACTCAATGGATACCAAGGTCGGGTATGGCAGAGATTACCTTGCAAAGAATAAGAGTAAGTAAAAATCATGTTTATTCTCTGTTAAAGCTCTGTAATTTTGCAGGGATTTTAAACATCAAATTTTTGCATGGGTGGTGTATTTAGTAGTTTTTAAAGTTGAACATTGCATTTTAAATTACATTATCACCCTCTCTCTAAAGAATATACAATACAGGCCAAAATCAGGGGGCAAAATGGTAATAGCAAGATATTGTAATGTATACTTTTTCCACTACAGGCACTGTAAAAAAATGCTCCCCTGGCTTTTTCCAGAATCAAGTTTTTCTTACAATTATCTCGAAAAAAATTATTCTCCCTCTCTTTTAATAAGAGTTCCATATATAAATAGTTGCTGAAAAAAAAAACAATTAAAGAAATATGCAAGTCACTGTCAAAAATTAAGAAAGGTGTGATTGCAAAGAAATGCTTTGGAAATTCTTACACTTTAATAATCTTGAAAGTCACGTTTATTCCATCTTTCAGATGAAAATCAGCATTATTGTTTTCACATCAGAAAATGTGTACTTCTTTAAAATTTGTTTTAATGATTCTTATCTTTTTAATAATTTTATTCATGCAAAATTTGGTATTTTAATTTAGAGTAAAGAAATGTGTTGCCTTCACTATTGTTCTAATGTTTCAATTTTAAAAATAAAGCTACCATTATTTTTTTAAAGCTATATCGTTTATTTTATTGAATATTTAATATTTATTTTAATGGTTTTAACTGTTGCATGATTTATAATTGGATATTAGTGACGTTAGATCCATGATTATTCAGTCCAATAAAATATTTTATGCAATGATATACTGCATCCATATTATTAAATTTTGTTGCTGCTGCTTAGTATATTGTAGGGCTCAAAATAGGGTAGATATTATGTACCGTATTTTTCGGCGAAAGCGCCGCACCTCGATAAAAATGAAATTTTTTAAAAAAAGTTATAGTAAGCGCCGCAATAGTGCTAAGCCGCGCATATCAGCATCCTTTTAGAAGAGACCTTTAAATTACCATTTAGAGTATCTGTATAATAAAAAATTAAATTTTTTTATGCATTTCATATCTTTTTATTTTGAATTTTATTCTGTTGAAATAACTTACTTTATTTTATCTTTTAAAAATAAAAAAGAAGCTTGAAGAAAAAAAAAATCTGTATCAAAGGAAACATCTGTTTCTAAAGCAGTTTAAAATAAAGTGAGAAGAAAAAACACCAGCATTTCCAATGAACAAAATAAAGAAATGGAAGTTGGAAAAAACTGATCAATCAATCTTGACAGCTGTGCTTTACTGATTTGCCCCCGAATTTCCCTCCTCTGTTTGACCATAAATTGGCCACACCCAGTTGACATTGAAACTACCACATGGACAATAAAATGAATTTATCCCTTTTTGCGATTTTTTATTCGATTCATTAATTTTTTTTATTTTGCCACTTTGTATTTTTTCTTGTTAATTGTTGCTTGCTTGCTTTTTTTAATCGTTATTAGTTTTTAGCTTGTTTTTTGTTGTTATTCATTGTTAGTTTCTTAGCATTTAGTTTAAAAAAAAATTTTTTTGTAGTTCCCTGTTAGCTTTTTTTTTTTTTCTTGCGAGGTAAGCGTCTTTTGTTAAAACAAAATGTTATCTAAGAGAAAAAACGAGAACTATGATCTCGCTCCAAAGAAGAAACGATTATTTCTTCCTCATAGGATTCTGATTATTTCTTCTTGATTATATTATATAGATTATTATTTTGATTAGTAAAATTTCTCTTATGATGGGCCAGTTTTAAATTCACCCCATCATAATCTATGATCGAAACTTGACTAAATTTATTGGCTTTTCTGAAATTAAAAGTGGAATTGAATTATAGTAATATTTGGGGGCCATATTGGAATTTCCGAAAGAGATCCGAAGTTCGGCATTTCGTCAGTCCCGTGAGTGTCGGATTTAGGGTCCTATTCTTCCTTTTCTGTTTGCTTAAATTACAATTGCTGAGGTGCTAAATAGATTTCTAGCTTGCGATTTTTCCTTAAGCTGGGGTGGATACAAGATGCATACCTTTTAAATTTTCTCCTTATGCGATGTTTTTTTAAAATTATTATTTCGTTTATTATTTTCTTACAGGCTGCTCCCGAAAGTTTGCTAAGAATTGGCGATGTTCTGCAGCAGATCGCGATACGGGCGAATATTTCGTCGACTTCGTTATTAATTTTTTTTAATAATCTTTCTCTCAGAAAATTATTTCTTAAATAACTTTCCTTGACAAATTTTTTTGCTACAAAAAAAAATTTCGTCGGAAGCGCCGCTCCATCGGAAGCACCGCATGTAGGAAAAAAACAACTTTTTTTTCCATAGCGCCGCGGCTCTTCCGCCGAAAAATACGGTATGTTATTACATACGCATATATTAGTGTACATGTGTTGATTGCTGTTAAATATACATAATGTCATTATTATTTAAAAAATTTCAGAATGATCAAGTTATAAAAGGAAAATGTGGCGGCTACTGTGATTTATGCATGCCAGATCCTAGGAATGGGCTTGTTGTTGACATTGTGTTTCCTTCGTGATGGTAATATTTAAAAAATATTCTAACAATTTAATTTAAAGACAATTTTCTTGTTTTAAGTTTTGTTTACATGTCTTGAGGCTTAATTAATTTTAATGTTAAAGATATTGAAAATGAATTTTATTGAAAACAAACAAAATCGATATTTTTTAATGGGTTAAATAGAATGAATATGAATGAAACTTTGTAAGATTGCGAAAATATTATTGGATTATCAACATATGCATGAACATTTTTATAGACATAGGGGTCTATCTCCAGAATGTGTAAAATTTGTACATATGCCTTTATTCAATTTATTTATTTTTTAAAAAACTACTATAGTTGTTTAGTGACACATTTTAAAGGAAATTAATACATTGTGTCATAAATATTATGAATAAAAGTTCAATTTGAATGCATAAAATTTCACTTCTGTCCCTTGATCCTAATCTTATGGTCAGATATGCAAAGTAAATTTTCAGTATAAATATACAGCATGACAGATATCATGTACTGTATTTGTGACTGTATATAGAAGATTACTATAAATATTATAATATATTTTTCATTAGAATTTTTATAATTTTACAATTCATCAGATAAAGATTGTCCCTTAGTTTACTTATCACTCTGTCCTTTATTATCAATTCTCCTATATATAAAACTCACCTCTAAAAGACCACTTACTTGAATGACACTGGAATGAATCATTTGTATGAATACTTATTTTTAACTAATAGGAGAAATGTATTAAATTTTCAGACTGTAAATTTATGATTTTTGCTATAGACCCTACCATTAATTTTTCAATACTTCAGAATTTTTAAAAAGCTATTTCTTTTTTAAAACCCCAAATAAGCCATTTTCTTATTTATCAAAAAATAAAAAAATAGATATCTTAATGTTAGATATCTTATGTAAATAGATTAGGAATTTTTTCTAATTTGATACCTAATTTTTGCATCAACTATCTAATTTTTAGTTCATTTCTTACATTAACAGCTAGTATTTTTAAGCATTTTAAATAGCATTTTAGTTTTTTTAAATTCACTCAAATGCTGTTAAGCACTTTATCTTCCTGAGATGCAAGCTTTAAATAATGGCAGAAAATTAATTTTTGCAGCAAAATATCAAAATATGTAGCTTAGAAGAAATGCCATAAATATTTTCTAATAACTAAATTATTGAAATTTAAGTTTATTTTAGTTAATTTTAATTTTTTAATAAAAATGTATTAAGTTTAATTTTTTGCATAGAATAGGATTAGTATTTCTTCTCATGGAACTGTCCAAAAGGTTACTTGAATCAAATTGGTTAGAGTTCTTATAATTTTTCAGTGTAAATAAAAGCTCTGACCTATTAAAATTAATTAAGTAATATTTTTACATAGTTTCGTAAAGGTACAAAAACAGAGAAATCTTAGAATATATTTTTCAGTTATAAATAGGCTATGGTGGTTTCACATTCAGAGTTATTTCTTTGGGATAAAGGTACAGAAATATTAAACTTTGGTGTCTTTCTTATTTCTGCAGAGAATTATTCTCATTTTCTAGATTGTTTTGATATTATATTTTCTATGTATTACAGCAGGTTCTATTGTATTTTAAACACGCACTTGATAAAGTTATCCATACTTTCTAACGACCTTGCGCCACTAAACCCTACATTCAATTCAATTCCATACTTTCTAACAACTACATGCTCCCATACAACCACACTTAATGAGTTATGAAACTTTAGTTAAAGCAAGAATTAAACCATTATAATGGATTCAAGACCAATAGTCAATCTTCTATCCCTACGGTCCTGCAGGGATTATAATGCAAATTCATTATTGAATTTGGTCCCGCAGTGGACTGATCGTGAAGACACGGTTCCCAGCAGATCACCGAAGTCAAGCATCACTGGCTGCGGTCAGTGTGAGTGTGGGTGACCACTTGGATTAGTCTGCGTAGGGACCGAGGGTGTGCGATATTGGTCCTCTTTAAACTGTGCTACCGTAAAGTGCTCGACTTCGCGCGCAGGTCGTCGGGCTACCAAAGTGGGGGTGCCATCCCCTCCGCAGAGGATCAAAATTGTGATGGCATGTCTTCGGATCATCCTCCGGGATGTTTCCCAGACCGTCGCCAATAGCCCAATGTGCAGCTCTAGTGCGACGTAAATTAACAACAACATTATTGAATTTGATTATAAATACTGTGCTTTGCAGCTTCTGCTGGGGGTGATAAGAACAAAATATGGGATTTTGTATCAGAGGGCTGATTTCTCAGATGAATATCACCACTGATCCAATGATAATTGCATAGCACAGCCGTATATGCCAAGAATAACTTTCCCCATTGTTTTTTATTTCTCCTTGAGTAGCATTTTGATTTCTAAAGACATCAATGACTTCAATTACAAAAGCATAGAAAAAGCATAAGATTTTTTCAAGCGTTGTCTGCGCAAAAAATTTATCCCATATCCCACTGCACTTCTGGAATCGTAAAGCTAATCTGATAATTCTCTACTTCCTGATTTTAGAATATACATTTTAGGTGATGAAATTTCATTAGAATAAATTGATAGAGATATCATGGAGAGAATTGATAGAGATAACACCAACAAATAAACATCCTCCCCAACAACTGCAACAGATTTCTTCTCCTTTGCCATCAGGTTTATTGCTATTAGAATGTCAGCATTTTCTTTGGCCTGCTTTTCAGAAATACTAGCAGATAAAAATGTTTCATAAGCATTTTAATCAAGTTTTTCACATTATTAGAGATGGACAAAATTACTGTTGTAGTTACTGCAAGGTCTTTAATGTAAATGAGTATAAACATGCTTTTTTTCCTTAATGAATGCATATAAGATTTATTAATATCTGCACATGCTCTCATTATATGACTTTTCTTCATAGTCATCAAACACAATAGTGGCAGAAGCACCATATTTTGCTATAACATAAGTAACATAACTTTCTGAAATTGTAGAAAAACTGTCTCTTATGTTTAATGTTATTCAGTTATTACTTCACGTTGTTATAAAAATATTACTTTAGAAATATTATTTCAGTGCTATAGTAATTTTTCTTATACTCGTAATTCTTTGTTTTTTAACTTTGCAATCATGTTGTACATAGATATTTTGCAGTAAATTTTCTTTAGTTATCAAATACGCCATCAAGAATTTTCTTTCTTGAATAAAAAAAGAAGTTATAGGTAAAAGAAAACTAATTTTTCTATTAAAAAAAACTCATTTTTTGGAGAAAAATTTGGTCTCAAAACACGGATTTGTATTTAGTACCCCAAAGAAACATAAATATAAAAAATATAAACTGCAACAATTTTACGATTTAACTTCTCTTATTGATCCCTATAGCTGGTACTAAATTATAATTTTTTAAAATTTATTTAAGTTATAAATCTTGAAAATTAGCTGTGGTAAGCAAGAAAAAGTGAGTAGACTCATATAGTCTTTTTGGTGAGTCACCGTTAATTTTAGCAATTCCCTGCTATGTTTACTATTTATAATAATTTTTTATTATTTCAGGTAAAGGATCTGATTACTTCCCATCAGTATTTTCATAGACTGAATCAATCATTTCTACATTCATTGTAAATATACATGAAGTTCCATCCATGATCTAGTGAACAGTCTGTTTTAAAAACATGTGATTCATTTTGTTTTGTCATATCAGGACTTAAACTCTATATTTGTTTTCAATTGTTTTGTGCTATCAAAAAGGTTGACGTTCACAGCTTACATTTCCGAATTGTGATGTTATTTAGTATACTATCACTTATCCTGAATCTCGTTTTTCTTTATTTTTGTTAAATCTTTTAATTGCAACATTATTCATAAATTATTACTGCATTATCATTGCTTTAAATGTTGATTTGTTAAAATTTTTCTTGTTTCACTACGAAATATAACGCTGTAATCTGTTGGTGCACAGTAATTTACTATTTTTATATCATTTCATATTTTTGCCATTTTGTTCAGTCATGGGTGGGATTAAATTTGTGCAAGACAAGATATACTGACAAACATTTTCTTGATATTTTAAGAAAAAAACTAAAGAATGAAATAAAAATATTTATTTACTTAGGAATTAAATAAAGATCTGTAAATTTTAAAATAACTGAGGTTTAAATCTAGATCATACAATTCTTATATTAAAATAAAATTCTTCTTAATATTAAAAAAATATTTTAATCCTTAACCAGTAACCCTTGCCAATGCATATCAGCTGAACCTTATCACTGATTAAGTTAAACTGAAAAACATTATTTTACTAATATTGAGAAAAAGAACTTGTTAAAAGATTATTCAATATTTTAGTGGTCTGATTTATTTTGAAGGAAATTAGTTGTAAAATTTCCAGTTTATTTTATTTATAAGCATTGGTGTTTTAGTTTTAAAACCTGGAATAAGACTAACTTTTAGTAATTAAACATTACTTAAAAGTTATTTTAATCTTGAAAGCCTTTGACATCTTATTTCTATCATTTTTCTCATGTTAACTATTTTACACATTCGTGGTGAAACAATTTTGTGTTATTTATTTGGTAAATACCTTCTTTTAAATGGTAATTGTTATTTCATTGTTTTGTTTAAGGTATTTTAACTGTATATTAATTCATTTTAAGTGAATGCTAATGGTTTGAATGTGTCTTATATTTATTTCATATCAATGCATGAATTTATAATGTGTATATAATTCATTTGTTGTGTTAAAAATATTGCTCGCATTTGTGCTTTTTCTAATGATGTCTACCTCATCTTCCTAATTTCTTAAAACATAATATTTATTATGGTCATTTAGCGATAGATTTAAATTGCAAAATTTTTGAAATTTAGGAACTCAATTTGTAGCAATTTATTTCACTGCCATATTTTTCTGTCATTCATTAGGGCACACACTGCCTCAAAAAATTTTGCTCATTTTACTCCCTAATGATTATTATCACAATGGTTATTAGAACAGCCTAGATCTGTATATAATGCTGTTGACACTGCCAAAATTTTTTATCTACAGTGGACCAACTGTATATATGTAAAAATATTTTAAGTGTCTGAATATGGCTGTGGTTGTCTACTTTATTAAATAATAACTTGTTTACATCAAAGGTAACTATATTTAATCTAAATTGCTTCTTGTTTTGAAAATTTTCTACAATTAAAATTATTCATGTTTATTGATTTATTTCTCTTCCTTTTAATATTATGAGAGAATTTTTATTACTTCTCTTTTTATAAAGAAATATGAGGAAAAATTTTGGTAAAATAAATTTAATAGTTGTTATATTATATTGCTTCAAAACTGAAATTCTCTGTTATCATTTATTTTTAGAGATATTTTTCAAACTGAAAGTATTCTCTTGTTTTAAAAAGCTTTGTTTCTTCCTTATCAAATAAGTTGAAGTTGTAAATTTAAGTTACTTTGATAAAACGTAAACTTTGCTTAGTATAAATTAACTCAGTTATAAACTGACATATATTGCATTTTCTAGTTTTTGAAGAAAGTTTTAAATGTAACTAAAGAATTGAAATGCATTAAATTTAATTTTTTAGCCTAGCATTAGCTCTAAATTGTATTCAAATATATATAGTCTGGTGTTTCATTTGCTTTATTAAATTTATTAACTTCTTATTATAATCAATCTAAGTATTATGCTGTCACACGTAAATGGCAACTTTGCTAATGTTCAAAGTAACTGATTCATGGTGCTAATAATGTTAAACAGTATCAAACAGTGAAAAATAAGGACGTAAATAGTATTTAGTAGTAATTTTCTACTATTAAATATACAGTGATATTAAAATGTTAAAAATTAACTTAAAAATATATAATGCAAAATATTATTTCAATAACTTACTTTTTCTCCAAATTTTGTCAAAATCAACATTTTGTCATGAATTCAAATTTATGCTATGCAGATTTCATTATTCAAACTAGAAGAAAATTGTTACTATTTTCGTTAAGTTTTCTGCCAATTAAAAAAATAAAAATAAATTGAATGAAATTTCAAAATACTTGCTTTTTTCACACTAAGTAGTCATAATAAGGTATAAAATCAGCCACTACCCTCTAAATCTCTCACCAACCTTGTTCTAAATTCTTTGATTCCTCAGATTCCTATTTAAAATTCTTGGATTCACCAGAGAGCTAATTCTTACCTTAAAGAAATAGTTGTTCTACTGATTATCTTAAGGTATGCCAATTCATGAATAGTTTTTCAAATTTTCCTAGTCTTATTTCCTTTACTTTCTATTTTCTTATACTTATAATTCTTAAGTGTTCGAACACCTATACATAAAGGTTACCCAAAGAATTTTATAACTCTCTCAAAAGCAAAACAGCATAGGAATTCAATTTATTGTTGTTTATTTTGTTACAATTTCGCTTTGTTTTCATGGATATATAAACAATACGGAAAAGTACCACTAGTTAGTTAAGCTATTTATCACCGACTCATTCACTTCCACATTTTTTTTGTTTATTTAAAAATGAAATTATGATAGGCCAATCATATATAAAATATTTTACTTTATCATTAGCCCTCTGCCTGTCAGAAAATTTTTAATGTTATCTAGCATTAATTTTTTAGGTTTAAAAATGTAATCCTATTTATTATTTTAACTTTCCAAAGCAAATAAATACATGGTCATTCCAATTTAGTATTTCTAGCATGTTTACATCTATTTTATACTTTTAAAGTATTATTAATGACCATAATCAGGTGAAGTTTTTTACCAAAAGTATTGGACTTGTTTGCATGTTATTGTTCATTTTGGAACTACTTGTGAAGCATTTGTATTATAAAATAATTTTTCCTAATTTTCATTTATTTGTTAATTTTTTTCTCTTTTGAATGTTAATATCTACTAAGCTTCATACTTTTTTAAGCTTGTATCTGTATACAATCTGTTAGAAAATATATAACTTTTTGAAAGATACAAAATTAATATTTATTTTTTGTATTTGCTGAAATTCATTTAAAACTATCTTCTTGCTAAAAAAAATATTACACAACTTCAAGCATTCATAATTTATTATCAAAATTAAAATCTTTTTAAAGTTTTAAGATTTTAAACTTCAGACTACAAGAAGCCCAATTGAGTAGTGAATATGAAATTCTTTCGCAATAAAATTCTTAACTCACAAATTAAGTAATATTTCCTGCAAGAAAAACTTCCTTATTTATAAAAACAATGCATTAAAAAGGAATTTATCATTTACTATAAAGTTTTTGCTCTACTTTTTTATGAATTAAAAAAAAGGACTTTTAACAATAGTGTAGTGAAAGTAAAATTTTCAAAGCAGTGTATCTTAGTTTCAGGCGATGTTTGTTTTATATTAAAACTTTCTAACAAAAAAATGAATGTGTAAAATTCTTTTTATTTTTATGTAAATAAGAGAACATACAGAACGTTAGAATTGTTAAATTTTTCTTAACACAGTTTATATATTTGTGGGCTAAAATTCAATATGAATATCTTTTTGTTAAAATATGTTCTTGAGATACATTTAAAAAAAATAAGCACAATAATTTGGTGCAATGCACTTACCTCATATGGATAACTTTTCCATAACAAGTTTTCAAATGATTACCTAATTTTTTTGATAATGTTTTTACATCTTATTTTTCAAATTCTGGGAAAAGCAAATGCTCTGACTGATTTTCTTTTTATTAAAATTCCGTTACTTTGCATCTAAAAGTAACTGTACCTGAGTGTTTAAATTATTTCTCTCCCAAATTCTGAACGTAAGCATTGATTTTAATTTCTTGAACTATCCGAATAATTAAAGAATTAAATTATGTAGATAGTCTTTTTTTTCTCCCCATATTATTAGATAGAGAAATAGTGTTTAAAAAAATTAATTTATAAACGTCTCTGAAAGTTGTCTATTTGAGAAACTGCTGGAGGTTTCATTGAAATTGTAAAAAATTACCCTAAAAATACAAAATGTACTACTTTTTTTTGCAAGTCCATTTATTAATTGTAAGAAATTTTTTGCAAATCCATTTATTAACCTTTTGCTTATTATTTTCTGAACTGTAACAGATAGCTTTCTTGAAACAGTAACATTTTTTAAAAAATTTTATTTTATGAGTAAACAGTGTGAAGCAAGGGAAAAAAACATTCAAAAGTTATATCTACGTTAAACAAAAAACTGTTTATAACTATAGTTTATTTCAGATTTTCATAGTATAGAGAACTGACCGATGATAATAAAAACGAATCAATTAAAACAAGAAGCAATTGAAATACTGCCATTTTTTAATAATTTAGTGCTAAAGCAACTGTTTGATATTTGTTAATTTATTTTACATTATAGCTATGTCTTCTCTAACACACTGTAGGCATTTAATTATTTTATCTGCGTGTGAAATTTTATAAATGTTTTCAATTAATAGGAAATTTAGAGTTCTTAAAGGTAATTTTATACAAGATGTTTATCATTGAATAATTCTTAGCTTCTGAAGTTGTAGCTTTTCTGAATTTTAAAATGCAGACATTCCTGCATGAAAAAAATTTCCCAGGGTCTTAACGCTTAAAGGTGTGTACAGCTAAACCTCAATATTACGAAATAGAAGGGGGCATTTAAAGTATCAGAAATTTAGAATATCCGAAATCGGATATTTTTTAACAGTGCAATCAAAATAGTTACTCTACTGATACTTTATAAGGACAGAAC